TATTTCAATTTGAGACAACACTGGGTCTTGTTTAATTTGAAATATTTCATAGACAAAACAAAATAAACATTCAAGTGCCTTTTGCGCAGACCAATGGACGTCTGTTCAAAAGAAATTAATACACATATATCTGATACAGTAGCATATTTTACAATTTGATTGCCATTTATTTTGTTTTACAAGCATCAAACTCCTATGTTATACAATATATCCATGAAAAACGTTTGTCTCACACTAATACCATGTTTTTAATGGACATATAATTTCTCTGATATTGACAACTAGTAAAAACAATGACCACTGAGCCTTGTAAATTAACTAGTAAGCCTACTTAAAGGCTCATTTTTTTCAGAAAATGCTTCAGAGAATAGATTTTCAAGTGTTCACTGTTCAATGAATGCAATAATTATCAACAAATAATTAATCACTATAAGTCTCTWTACATTATGCATCATGCTATTCTTATTTTGCTAGTATTAAACTAAAAATATATAAAATTGAAAATGACTGAATGTCTACTTAAAGASAGATTCTGTACAAGAAGAATTTAATGTTTTGTCACAATTACTGAAAAAGGTCATTTAAATTAAATGAATTGCTGTGGGAGGAGTTGTTTCTAAAATTCATGATTTTTAAAACAGTTTATGTTAAGAAAAGCCCATTATTGAATATCATTTCTTTACCCTAATCTGTAAGGCTTTTCATTTTATGAAGACCAATTGCTATATAAACACAGAGATTCTTTGATCAGTATTCAACATTAAATTGACTAAATGTTACTGTTGATAATAATTGCGACAAATAAACATGACATTATCCTGGACAAGCTGCATTCATAAAATAATATGCTAAGAAAAAAGAATTCAAATAGCATATTTAGGAATCACATTAAATTTTCAAGTTATGACACAATATTCAATCATAATATTTCTACCTATCTACACTAGCTATTACAATTATTATTCACAAAATTAATCAGTCAATCCAAACTAAATGCATAAAGACATCAGTTTACTCTAAAAAAGTCCAAAATTCCTGGACAAATAATTATCAATCCTAATTGACCTTTTCCAGTTAATTTTTAGCTCAAAGCTTAGGCACAAAGCTATGTGATAAGATATTCTATCATTTGGCAACATAGTGGTGATTTGCAATAAATTCTTATGAGAAAAAGAAAATAGAAATGAGGTAATAAAAAAGTTTTAAAGCCAACACTGCTAGTTTTTGAATATTTAATTTACAAACAATGGAGGCATTAGCTTGAGCACAGGATACTGTCACATTAAAATCATTGTTTGATCTCATGCATCTAACATATCAATAATAATCTATATCCTAGATGTTGTCAACATACAAAAGTKTACAGCAGCAGTTTTCTATATTTTTACAGTTATACAAGAAGTGACAAAACAAGAAGCTGTCAATCATTGCACATTATAATTAAAGTTGAATTACAATGGTCTTTGATGACAWGATGATTGACAATTGATAATGTCTTTCTTATTTAGTCGGAGAATACAATTGAATCTAATCTAAAAATTGTTGACTTAAATACTGGTAAACAATTATTAGTACATATTCATGGCATCTTGCTTGAAGTGTGTGTCTCAAATGGTCTTACAAAATCACAGAAACAACTGCTTTACCTTGGGTTCACTGTCAAACAGGATGCTTGAAATCTTCATATTGTTTATTAGTAATTCTTAAACCCAGTAAACTTGTGATCCTTGACTAAATGGATTGCTTGAMGTACTGCCTCTTGGACTTGAAACAGGTGAACCAGTATGTCGACTTGCCAGAGAAGCAAAGTCATCTTCTTCAGGTACAGYAGGAACTTTACCCCAAGCATTTTGATTTGTTTGTTGTACTGCTGGTAGTGATTTGTTTATGTCTGTTGTCCAAGTCCCTGATATTGCATTATTTTGTGTGGTTGCAAAAGGATTATGGGTTGTTAGAAGGCCTTGATTTCCACTATTTGCCTTGTTTATATTTTCAGCAGATTCCAGCCACTTTTCAGCATCAGAAGGAGTGCGTTTTAATTGTGAAACTGGTGGAGACCATGGATTTTGTTGCACAGTTTGAGCAGCAAAAGGCTGAGAAACATTTTGTGCAGGACTGCCAAATGACTGTGATGTATTCACAGAATTCGAATGTAACCCATTGTACATAGAGGGTTGAGCAAGACCTGGGCTTGCRCTTAMAACTTGTGGTGTTGATGCCTGTAGTGGGACAAACCCTCCAGGGTAATTCATGGCTTGTGGTTGATTACCATGAATATTCAAAGCATCAACAGTTTGAGGTAACTTTGGTGGTTGAGATTCTTCTAGTAGTGTTTCATAGCCTTTTGATGAAGTATCTCTCAGAGGTCCTAATGACATTGGAGTGGATTTATATCTAAGTGACATGTGACGAGTGAATGGTGAYGGTGTAAAMGGTTGTGGTCTTGGTCTTACAACAGGTGGAGGTGGCTTTAGAACTGGTTGTACTGCGGGTTGAGGCTGCYGAACTGGTTGTACTGCSGGYTGAGGCTGCTGAACTGGTTGTACTGCKGGCTGAGGCTGCTGAACTGTTTGAACAGGTTGTGGTGGAGAAGCTGCAGCCTGYGTTGGGCCATTCATGGAAGTTGAGCCAGCTGATGCAGTTGGAGTTGARACAGTAGTAGGAGCTGTAGAAGCAAGCTGTTTTAGAGTCTGTTGCTGTGGCTGTGTTGTTGGTGATGATGATGCTRGAACTGCTGCTGGTTGACCTTCTTGTGGTGCAGCCTCCTGATAAACAAATAATGATTAATAACTTTCTATATTATTACTGTTGTATCTATTACAAGAAACCTTACCTCTTTCCCWTCCTTTGACTTTGCAGCTTGTTGCAAGGCTTGTGCTTTTTGCTTCCTCTGTAGACAAGCTGTGAATGCACATCCAACAGCATGGCTAAGACGTTCACCCTAATAAAACATCAATCAAATCAACATTTGTGGAGCTTAATATGTAGTCATTATTGGTTAAAAACAAGATTTGTTCTTGGAATAAATACATAATGATCAGATTACTAACTGTGTCTCTTGTTGCAATAAAACAATGGCACATCCATCTCCTTGTTGTTCCTTCGCGGCAAATRTATGAAAAMACCCTTTCATCTGATGGGTCAGGAGTACAAAATGACACTTTTTCTATTGTCTGGTCAATGACAAGAGACTGAAAAGAAACAATAAATATTTGCCATATTAACAGGTTGTATTRAATCCTCAAAAGTCACATTCAAATTAGCGACTTAGCATAAAATATATCTGATCATGAGGTGGAAAATTGGTTTCTTGGATTTTCAGCTAAAGTGTGATTTCAAGATGAAAAAAATCTTATGTCATTTTAATTGTTTTTTCATCTCAGATGAATTTCTTTTCTATTTTTAAAATGGCCAACCATCGTTCTCTTCCTTTTTTCATATTGAAATGGGAAAGTAGGGGTGATCTAAGTACTCCAATATTGAAACACTTGAATTTAAATAAGAACAGAAGTGGTTTAGTATTCATTGAGGGAAACTTTTCAACAAATCTGAGTGTCTTTCTTTCCTGTATACTTGAAATTTCGACAAAAAGGAAGAATTTCATTTTTCTGATCTTTCCTTTGAGTGAATTTTGCAATATAATACACACAAAAAAGAAAAACATAATAAAATAAATGTAGATTACAGGAAATGATACACACCCTAAGATTAGACTAATATGCTTGGATGATTTTSACTGTTACACAGCATTGTTAAACATCAAGATATTGTAGAAATTCATAGCAAATAAATAATTGTAGATGCAGAAGAAAAAAAGGCCACTACCATAAAGTAGAAAGATCTGATGGGAACATTGGCATCACATGCACAAAATGTTACACCCAGTATTAAAGTGTATAGCTGGGAGATGTGCAAGAGAGCTACACACGTACCTCGTGTCAAAAGTAGACATGCACCGATGAACATTTTTGTACCTAACTAAGATRACTTCCAAAAAGTAGATTTCGTGAAATAAAATACCATCAATCAAAAAGATTGCAACATGCGTACACATTGATGGTTGCCCTTTGTACACCAACATAATGTCATGTACTAATATTTACAATTGATAAAGGTCACTATTTCTCTACATCAARCATCGGTAGACAAAAAGAAGCGAACGATAGTTGAACTCGGCTAATTTGACGGTGAAGTGATTTCCATATTTTAAACCCGAAAATGATGGCCCAACGTGGAGAATACATTASTTAGTTCGTCATCAGATCGATGTAACCCAACTCGTAACAACTTGATCCTAAATTTTGTTTTACTTCAACTGGGAATATCTTTTTACGGAAACATCAAATAACCATGATCTAGTTTTTGATCGATCGTTGTCGAGTGCAAATCAAATCACTAAAAATTTGTTGTTGCGAATTACTAAAGTAGATGTAAGACTTAGATCAAAACTCTAGTAATCAAATAATCRTAGTACAAATCTGTCCAAGTACGATAAGTTCTTTTGTAAATCTTCTATCAATTCATCGATATTGAAATATCCAGAATCTAACACATGTTGATTAATAATACAGCATTCAGAATCAGTCGTGTAAATGGGAAACCATGGTCCGGTCTACTGTTTATACACCATCAAACAACTTACTTTCGTCTCTTCGTCTACCACACGAATACAGTCCGATGTCACTAGTAGAGTCATTTTCTTTTTCTTGTGTATACCAGCCTAAATGGAATATGYTTGTTTCTATTACATGGATAGTTACAAATGGGCATGCTTCAAATACACTCTTCAACAAGTTGAAATGTTAGTGATCACGTACAGTACATGGAATCGAAACTGTAAGCGAAAGTCGAAGGAATAACATTTCATCAACTCCACCAATGGCCTTGTTTCAGCAAGAAAATAAAAGACCAACAATTACTAGACAATACACTTACATCTTTCATCCGGCGAAAGGCTTCGGCACACACTTGTGTTCCTCGTGATTCGGTTACCTCGATTGCCCCTGCATACTAAAAAACCAACAAACACTGCTTTAGTTTCTTTGTAAATTCAATCAAACATGTAACATATGGATCGTTTAAATAACAGGGTTTMAAGCTTCATAGTTTATTACATGAGATGTCACATCACTAACAACAAACAGCGTTGTCTGAACAGACCTTAACTGGGAAGCTTACACCTCCATTGCGAACTTTATAACTATCATTCTCCCAAACTTGAGGTCGGTGGCTTTCTGGAATATGTCTTCTAGAACTCCTCAAGCTTAAGCTACGCTTTAGTCGCTTCATGTTAGGTTAAAAAGTTATAGAATTAGAAGGTAAAAGGTTAAAATTGTGAAGAGAATTCTCTCCTCTTCAAGGTATGTATATTTATGGTTGATTATCGATCTGCAATTTCGTGTTTTTGAATCGGTGCAACTGCGCAAGCGTTACGATTATAATTTATGTAAATATATGCAAACACTATTAACATTTGTGTCTGTAGTGCTAAATTTATCGATTACACGTCTTGTGTTTAGAGAGGGTTTCCACTGAATATTAGCTAATGATTTGATATTTTTTACCAGCTCTTTTCATAATATGTGTTTTCAACAATAAATCATTTTTTAAAGGAAAACTTACCAAATCCATCTGAGTGCAAACTGCAACACTATAACGATTTTTTAGGGTGATTCATGTAGTATCATGGTTTGAATAATTGATAGTCATTTTTGCAATTCGCATTAGTGGATTTTAATACCCCTGACGTAATTACTATCATAGTTTAATAACTACTGAACCATTCATATATCAAAGAACATTATTTCATTGTTCCCTATCAGGTATGTAACGCTTCAAGACTAAAACTGAAATTATGGCCTCTCAAAATATTGTACTACAAAAGACTCCGTCCTGCAATAGTTCGTCTATTAGCCCTGCATGTCGGCCCTCTTGGCTGACTCGTGAAACTGAAATCAACGAAATCATCGAAATAATAAACTAACGGCTCTTTTTGAAGGATATCCGTAGAATGGTTGGGTGGAAAGTCATTGAAACGTCCGCGTTACCCGAATACTCACTTGCTATCCTCCCTCTTCTTAATCCCCCCTCTCCTCCCAATTACGTGCAGGCAGGTAACACTATTGTTATACCCACTACACAAGATGAAACATTTTTTTACCATTTTTCACGTGAAGAGCGATTAACCAAGTGATCTGAGGTGATGTTTCCGTCGTCTAGGAGAATAAATCAATAATTACTTGACGCGGCAAGCAGAACCAAATACTAGAAGTAATTCCGAATCTGAAGTCTGGCACTAACTCTTGGSTTGGCTATTTTTCAAATAGCGGAGAGTCGCTGTAAGAAGTCAAAACAATTGGTGCTAGACTAGAGTTTTAATAACCTTGGAGAGACCTTGGAGTACTTCTCTATCTTGATGATATGCAAATATAGAGAAAACTCCCATTTTCAATTTTGCCAATATTCAACCAGCCCTGCGGCAATATTGTAAAATTACTTCTACTTCTTCAATAGTAGCTACTTCAATAGCCATTGTACAGCGACGCCTTTTTTAGTACAGCAATGCATCAAGTCAAAACGCGATGAGAACAACAGTCAACGCCACTGGGCTTTGTCTTGTGACATACTCGTTTTGTTATCATCGCATTTTCAAGGCATCTGCATTCATTATGGAAAAATGGAATCTATTTGTATAGGTATGCAATGTATACATTGAAGAATTAAAAAAATATTAGCTTTTTGTCTCATCGTGAAAAATAGTTTATGTTGAGGACATGAGGATTTTACAATCAATCTTAGGAAATGTTTTTGAAGTTATTTTGATCATTTGTCATATGACCAAAGTACAATGTAGGTTCACCCACTGACAAGAACATTCAACAAACCAGGATCACACCGAATGAAAAGGTTTCTGAGACATCCAATCCAAAACCAGAGACGTCTTTTACGAAAACAAACTTTATTCAATTCAACTTTAGAACATTTGAASCTAAGTGAAATAATTGTCCGATCTCAGTTCAAGTGAACTGAACACTGGTTTACTACTCAATTGGCAGTATTCCCATGGTTGTTTTTGGCTTGTCGACAGTCAGTGTCGGTAAATTCAACGTTTAATGCTTCTAAAGATGTCCTAAGTGTAGGGAAGGTACTTTGAACTGATGGCCACGATGAAACAGGTTTGGATGGCCTGCAACAAAGTTTGAAAAGAAAAAAGGTGATCGAAAATATATAGATTACAAGAAAACAGAAATAGAAACAAGAAAACAAACAAGAAAAAACAATCAAAATAAACAACGATCTAAAGATTAACATCATACTTTTTAAGACCAAGCCACCCTTTCACTTGCTTGGAAAAGACATCAGCAGTACCACCAATGATTGCCTCAAGATCTACTTCCTAAAAACATCAAGTAAACCCATTGGATGGCGATAGGATTACATTATCACTTATATCAGAATTATCTCGACTAAATTGTATGTATGTTTAACTCAATTCCCAGTATGAATGAATAGCTAATATAAAAAGGGTTTACCTTTCCTTTAGGGATTTTGCCAGTGGTCTCTCTACCAGCAGCCAAAAACAACCCAAGTGCAACAGTGTACGCCACGGCACTGCATCAAACGAAACATAACGGCTTTAATGGATGGGTACCACTGGGAATTATCGTCAAAAGTTACATATCAAGTCTAGCCTAAACCCCCACTATCGCGCTCAAGKCAGAAGTACATATGGACACTTCTGGTAATGCACTTCTGCCTCAAGGGAATCAAGAAAGAAACACGTTTTCTCGACCACTGCGCAGTACATTTTGATTGAGGTTAGGTTCTAGTRAMCATRAAGAAGAGCAATTGGTTTACCAACAAAGAGTCAAAATGATCTTGGAGAAGTACTGACGASTATACCTGGATCCTCTTGATAACGGCATTAGATTGAAGAAGTAGTACGCCAATGACAGGATATACTGACCTAGTGGATCGTTCTCCTGAAATAACACCAGCAGTAAAATAACACGCCTACGTATTTGAATCCACAATTTAACATAGATGCTTAATGCTAATAAAAGAGGATAGTTTTCTTTGAGTTCCTCATATAGGGACAGGAAGGTTCCAACCTGTCATCGGGATATCCCCATCATAACCGGACGAAACAAAAGGGTAAAAGTATTAATTAATCTATAATTTTAGCATCATAAATTCCAACAGTTGTTAGATATAAATACATTTCAAAATCCTATTAAGTTCTGTATGACGCTGACCAAACCACTAACTACTTATTTACRATTTGCGGTAAAAGTTTTACTTCAAAGTCTTCACTTTTGAGAGGTCAGTTTTCCGAGAAATGAGTACATGCTTAAAAACGACAGCCAATTGACCAGCGAGCAAGAGACACTTAGTATTAGATACCACAGATAACATAAGTAATTGCCTTTTAGTTATCTTGTGATATATCAGTAATAGGATCGGTTCACTAAAAAATCCTTAGTAACTCAATTAAACAGATTATCAGGGAGTAACAGAGAAGACCATAGGAAAGCGCGCGTAGACTTCACAGAGAAACTATCAATTTCCGTCTCATCTTGCCTATTGTGTCTCGTGTAAAATTGTTTCGATTCCAAGAGTTTGCTACTTCTTTTACTGAGTGATTCTTCCTGCCATTGATTTTTGAGTTGAATGTTTTCGAGTCTGTAATTTTGAATACAATTTTTCATTTATTATCTATTTACCTTATTAGAAGGTTTTCTTGCTTCGAGTTGTATTTGTGTCCATATATATTCCAGTTCTGAGTGATAAGATGCAGTTCGGCTTGGTGTAGTAGCAGTGTCCATAGAAAATACAAGGTTACCTCCACTACGATATAAAACACATCTTCATCAATAAATGATCGTCTATTACACATTGGCAAAAAGACGGCTTCATCAACCATCGAGTTTTGGATGCCACTAAGAGTAAAACAGACTTTTTTACAGTATTTTCTTTGTGTGCCCTGTGTTTTTTTATTTTCTTTTCGTGTGCCTCATGTTTGTTTGTGTGTATTTTCAAGATGCCAAGAATCTTATCTGTGAACTATTCTATATGCTGTACGATATCTGGTTACCTTCCTTCTGATAACATTAACATAATCCCGTCTAGGTTACTCTTTCCACCCGACTTCAAACTTGCGACATGAGTTGACAGCATCAGACCGGGCTGGGGGTTTGTCGGGTTTTGAAGCTGTGAAGTAGTATCAATAACTATCGATAACTATCAAGATTATTCATCAGTTTTATCATCAGCATTATCATCGTTATCACCTGCTAGTGCAAGTATCTCCCACTAAGTACAACCCTTCGTACAATCAAAAAGAAAGTCTGTTTATATAGGGACCAGTTGTCTACAAGTTGATTGTTGTTGATTATAAGCTATTATTAAAAGATTATCAAAAGAAGATACAAACCTTCAATACATTAATCAAATCTTCACAAGTTTTTGACTTCTCAATTTTTCGCTTGAAATCTTTAGTAGTAAACTCATCCATTCTGTGAAATAAACAAAGAAACCCATTGTCTTCTTCACAAACTTGTTATGAACTTGGATACCATAATTATATAAAAATAAGAGAAGTACTAGATGAAAACACTTTTTTCCATCACAATGATATGCACACCAATGCAATACTTACTTACTTATAGACACAACATTTACAATACTTACTTGTAGAAGTGTAAGAGCATTGTCTTGGTAAACTGAAATATTTTATCAAAATATTCTGCATATCTTATGTTTGTCATTTGTCCTCTGAAAAATCAATAAATAGATTTATTAGCGGAACATAACACAAAAAGAAATAGTGAAATTGAAAAGTTGCATATAGGAAAAGATCCTGTTGAAAAGTTTGCATTCAGACAAAACACTAAAAACTTATTACAAAATGGAGCTTATGACCACAGTTAACAACCAAAGTCAGTAGTACTTACTTAACTAGTGTCATATGTACATTAAATCCTGCCTTCACACTCTTATCAGGCATGAGATCCAGCCACAGAACAGGTTGATCTGGATCCACAACCCTACAGCAATGCGAAACATTAGCTTGAAGAAATTCATAACTAAACTAGCTTTATATCTTTCCATAAAGACACTCTGGAGGTGAAGCAATGTGATGGACACCTGTATTATTATAGCACTCTGCTGATCACATACTGTGTTCATATAGTTACCTCAGCACATTATATGAAACAGTCCCACATTACCTGCGCCACTTGATAGCCACATCAAAAAGGTCCCTCCATGTCAGCTTGATCTTTGCTTGCCCTTTACGTGATACCTTGAAGAATTGACGGGCTACCTGTGCTACATCTATAATAGCCAAGCCCATTGCCCTTTGATGACGAACATTAGGCAGAAAGCCATCAGTATGGTATTGTACTAATGGACCTAGGATAGCTGACTTACACAGGAGAACCTGCAGAAACATGCACCGTACATGAAATTAATTCAAATTGTGTCCATATTGTGTAATTTAAGCAATGCGGGGCTGGACATCTCATAATGACAAATACATTGGAAAATAATGGAAGACTTCATGTGTCACGTTAAATTTCCTAAATTCTAGCAATATAATGAATGGATAATTAACCAATTTATAAATATTAATATCAAGTCTATAAAATTACCTGTGCTTGTGGTGAAAAGTCCCTAAATGTTACATTCTCAACTTCCCTACAAACACAATGTATCATTTTCATCATTGTCAAAAAGTCCCTAAATGTTACATTCTCAACTTCCCTACAAACACAATGTATCATTTTCATCATTATCATCGTCACTATACTTATAATCTTGTTTCAACTGTTACCTTATTTGTGGTTGTATTCCAGGTTGTTCTGTGTAATTCTGAAAAAAACCCTGTACTGATTAGTGTTAATAAAACTACTAACTTTAGAATCTACGCAATAGACTGACAAAACCACGAAATTCACCCTGGAGAACAGGGATAACAAAACCTGTATTAATATTTGTGAAAAATAAAGATACTTTTGATTTTTTCAGTGTCATTATCTTTCTCAAAGTTATAACGTCCTTAATGAGACCATTTGGAAGTATTTTAATACCTGAATACTAAATGGCAAGCTCTTGACCCAATGGTCTCTCAGACGACCGTCCAACGCAAGATCAGCAGAGTAATCAGTCATAGGTGTGTCCAGATAGGAATGAAGGTATCGAGAGTATTCTGATGGAAAAGATGTGAAAACATTGAATGAACATGGTAAGCAAGCACATAAGACATTACAGAAAATGACAAACAGTCTTTGCAAACTGTCTAGAACTTCAGTTAGGCAAAACAGAGCATGATCACCTTTAAGATAATGAGCTTTTACTGTGATTCCCTGAGATAAATCTGGAGGACTATCATCAACAATGATCTAATAATTAAGTGAAATTCTCAATTATTAATAGAAATAAAACAAATAGTATTAATTTCACCAGTCATCTGTCTAATTTGATGTAAAATCCTTAATATAATATGAGGCAAAACAAATTGACAAATGTTTTAAAATACATTTCTAATGTATGTAGTATACTAACTCTTGTTGAAGCTCTGACAGCATTGTAGAAGTTCCCAAGTGAAGCATAACACAGTCCCTCCATATAGACACAGGCTGCATTCTGTGGTTCTAGTCGAAGACAGGCCTGCAATGATCAAACTTTATTTCTTCAGTATTGTAATTCATAAACAATGATGATAATGATAATCATAATACTAACAGCAATATTGTATTAAGCAAAATATCTGTTCCTCAAAATATCCTGATAATTCACCTTAAAGTTTTCTAGTGCTTTAGCAGTTTTCCCATTCATATACAACAGAACACCAATTAGCTGGAAAGTCTAAAAAAAATCACTAGTTTCATCAAAATTTATGAGTCAAAACATTTTATAATATGACTAGTTGTAGCCTCTTTTTATGACTATGTGTGAAATAACTACAAGCATTTGATCAAAAACTAATGTACATATACCGGTGCACTGTCTGGCTCAAGTAACAAAGCTGAGGAGAAATGTTTGTAAGCACTGTCAGCATTTCCAAGCTCTCTGTATGCATGGCCAAGGTTGCGATGTATTTCTGCAAGGTTTGGTTTAACTTCAAGTGCCTTTTTATACCAGACAATTGCTTCCTGATAAAGGAAGAATCACAGTAAGTAAATAACGTGTAATTAATATTTAGGTAGAAATCTCATTCTTAGTACCTTAAACTACTCACTTACTTTGACCAGTCCTCTGTGATACATTGACAATCCTAAATACAGTAAAGCTGCAGGCTGCTTCTTTAAGTCAAGAGATTTTTCAAACATTTTGGTTGATGCAACATAGTCCTGGATACAAAGAACAGACTTCATTATTCTCTGTTTGTTTTTTTTGTTTTTTTTGCCTGATTGTCTTTATTACAGTAATAAATTTCCTCATTTTCAACTGTCAAATGTTATTTGATCACATGTTTTGAAATTGTAATTATAACAATAATTACAGTATGCCATATTTCAATGAATGTTCTTATTTTTGAGTTTTTAACATTGAGGTAGAAAGTATTTGATACCTCTGACATAAATAGCAAAGTTCCTTTCATCAAATACAGCTCAGAGGTTGGTTGTAGATCTAATGCGGTTGTAATGTCTGCAAGAGCTTCTTGGATTCGACCCAATGGTGAGTAAACCTAGTATTAAATAGATGTTCAGTGGTGTAATCTAGACAAGCATGATTTAATTCTGCATACTTGTTGGATTAAAAGTCATTAACTAAAATGAAAGAGTGAAAGAGTGATAACATTGTGTTTGGTATAATGGTATGAACAAAAATATTTATGGATAGTCTAAATATAACTTATTGCATAGCATTAACGAACTACTTTTCATGTACCATTAAGTGTTTTTAAAGTATAGATTTACATCATCGTTTACCTCAGCCCTACGTATCCATCCCTCAGCAGACTTGGGCTGATAAGCTATTACTGATGAGAAGTCTCTTATAGCTGCATCAGCATTTTCTTTGTTCTGAAATGAAACAATCAGACTGACATTAAGTATTAAAGACATAATTGTATCTGAAAGAATAGTTTATAGCTTGTATACTACCTGTATTCCTTTCCTGACATGAGCTGTTCCTCTACCAAAGTATGCACTGGCAACCCAAGGGTGATCCTGAAACATATTTACAGGTATTACGTACTACTAAAATGATCTGATTATATTGAGTAAACAGGACTAGACTGAGCAGTTTAGGTTTTTATTATTCCACTTCTTTTTCATAATATTTCTTTGAAAAGTGTCTCCCTCAAATGCATTAACTGAACATGCTTCTATTCTAAACTAAGTTAAGAATATATTTCAGAATATACTGGAATAAAGACCACTATTTTATTCATGTACATGTCTGTCACCTTGATAATTGAAGTAAAATGCTTGATAGCTCCATCAAAGTCAGCTGAATTCAACAGCATCATGCCACTAGCTACCAGATATCAAAGACCAAAAACACTCAATTAAATATACAAACCCTTAAAAATATACAAACAAAATTTGTAACTAACCAACTTTTTCGTCAATATCTTTAACTCCTGTGCTAAATATAGTATGTGTTGACTCATGGGTTATCACTAGACGAAGACCCTATAAGATCCATATGTAAGATGAAATATCTTTTTTTATTTAATCAATGGATCTGTTCATCAATTTATCAATTGATCTGTCCATCCTTCCACCAGTTCATCAATCAATCAAGTTATTTCTTTTAAATATATTTCTCACCTTTGCATTTTCAGAGTGAATAATAAAATGGTCTTCATTACCCTGGATGAAATGTGGACTTGAAGAGCACATTTTATGCCCTGTAGGACAATCTAGGAATGAAAACCGACCAATCAGATTTAAGGTGTCATATGAACAGATGAAGACTGCTGGCAGTCTGCATCTTTAGGGGAGGCACTCTCAATACTTTGCCTCTAAAAACCCACAGACATCCAGTAACACAGGGTAGAATATGCATGGCTCTAAAATTTCCCTGACTGAAAGTTAACGGTCTAGGATAGTGAACTTAGAGGTACCCAAGGCGACCATGCATGCTTGGTACTAAAGTAATAAATTCAATTAAATAAGATTATATATTCTTAATATGATTATTATTGTATGTGACCATTAATAAACTAACTGTTCCTTCACCAATGTGTAATCAATTGCACAATACTGTTTTAATACTGTAGTTACGATTAATATTCAAGCAACATTTGTTTTACCCTCATGTTCTTTTGAAGGTCGGCAGCTCTGGATTGGCGTGACATTCTGTGACGAATCACGACTTCCAAGATTGATGTGTAATATTTGTGATGTCTTGAGACAGGAATACTTAAAATCATGAGTATAAGTAAACTGTTGAGCTTTAGTAGATGGATGAGCAATAGACAAAAAACATAACAAAAAACACAACACAACCGCCATGTTGGATTCTAGCCCCAGTCCACACGTTTATACTATAACAAAGGTTGACCAAAAGATGCAAATGATTTTCATAAACACACCACAAGAGCGTACGAGTATCGAAGTTCCAAATTGAAGGAGCAATCTACGGAGGCTGAATTGAAAGGTATGCAAATATAACTATTTCTTCTCTAGCTTCTGTATTGAACTACAGTTTTCAGTTTGGATAAGAATAGAATTGAAGTTTGACAAAAGGGGCGTTTCGAGTTCAGAGTTCGTTCATCCGTCAGATATGATATGCGTCTTTCGAGTCAACAATGAGGCCGGAAAGTCAATATGAATATTATTATTATTTTTTGATAAAATACGAAATCATGTATGAAAGCTACAGACATTTTCATTGTCAGTTGTTGTCCCGGTGTTTTTGGCTACTTGTGTGATTGGTAAGTTTATGCATATGACTTATGTCATAACTTTAGAGCTCATAAGTTAATAATAGTTTTAGAGGCTTTATTCATAATTTTATATAATGTATCATAGAGAAGTGTCCGTTCTCGTTAAAAAGCGGTTAAAAGTCCGAATTTTTGAAAGGTTCTTGTAAACGATAGCTCGCTAAATCCGTCCCATCAATCACTTCGCGCTAACAATCGACTGGGGACAAGTCTGGTCTACAGGAGTACCGTCTTTGGTGTCCCAGATGATAAATATACTGCATACAAACATTTTATATTTACAAATTGATTTCGACTTTATACCAAAGAAACTATAGCCAATAGTATATAGGCATTCTATATTGCTCCTTTAAAGAAACCATGCTCCAACCTTTCTGTTTTCAACCCCCTCCCCCAGGTAATCTCCCCATTGTTACTACTTACAGCATGGCTAGTGTAACACTGAATAACGTCCTTAACCTCTCCTAATCAATGCCGCCATAGTATGTTTTCGTAGAGATCTTTGAATGTTAAGAAGAACGCCTGACACCGAAAGACATTTTAGACCTGCTGTTTGGGGCTAGGGTACTTTTATGGCCTGTCTAGATGTGGATGTTATCGTATTAATTTCGAAGAGTGATTATCATCATCATCAATCATGATCAGTTTGGGAAAAAAATATTTAGTGTTCATCACTATCGTCACTCGACATAAAAGAGGTCAATGGTTCGTATTTTGAAGGAGTTACGAAAGGAATTCTCCACTCAAATCATTGGATGACAGATGGAGACGACCTTAATTCACGCAATACGTGCAATGACACCGCCTGGAATGACTGTCAACATGTCTTTGAGTAATGATATCCTCGCATGCTATTTTAGGTCAAAAGACATTTCAAACAATGTTTGGCAAGTCATAACAAGTTTGTGGACAGAAAACCACCGTGTCTGTGTTAAATTACCTTATGATGTTGGACAGGATGGAATAAATCAAGGAATGGAAGTCTATACTAGCATCAAAGGGGACTTGTTGACAGCCCGGATTACCTGAGAAGTTTATTCGAAATACAATCAACAAAATCCACTTGCTTCCCATTTAGTCTACAAACAAACACAGCTTCATCGGTTTGCTTGTTGTTGTGTATGATGGCTGACAGCAATGGAGAAGAAGATTCATCTGTCTTTTTGACCGAGAAAGACGATCCTGAAAACATATTCTTTGAAATTGACGTGGTTTTCTCAAAAAAAGCTTTCCTCTCATCATGCAGCTCAAAACAGGATCAAGTTTGCTGCCCAGTGATTCCATCGTCTTCAAATGTTGACCTGGCAGTTGATACTGAATCTGTTAACGATGATAAAGCTGCAAAGACGAGGAAGTTTAAAAACATTGCACTCCCAAACTGGCTGGTAAAGCCTCACGCTAAAAAGTCCAATGACGATCGAGTATTTGCGAAACATTTCAATGCCTTTCACAGCAATAAAAAGAAGATGCTACGTACTAATTCTGCACCTAAGAAATTGGTATCTGGCGGGGTTAAAATGGAGTACCAACATTGTAGTACAATTGACGAGGGCACCGAAGGGCTGTCAGACGATCATCACACTCTACGACCTAGAAGTCCTGTCATTTTTGGCAAGCAAATTGTCGAAGAGGGAAAAGAGAAAAGCAAAGGACATGTATGGCGTCGCAGAGCGTCCCTTCCAGCTCATGTTGGTAAAATATTTTCAGACGGAATAAAGGTTACAGACTCGAGTGGCCACGTACCGTTGACCCCAGAAGCACCGAGGAAACGATCTAGTAGTCCCACAGACAAAATGGAAAAGGATGTACTTAAAACCTTGATCTTTGGTAAATCTCACCATGGAACAGCTAAAACCTCTTATGACAAACCCTTAAATGCCGAGCAAAACTCCATTAATGGGGATAGTAATACGGACTTGACTAACGAAAAAACTACTCATATGAGCAATCACAAGTTAGAAGTACCCAGGCTACAATTACATCGATTGGAAACTCCGGATTTATTCTATGTTCCTGATATGGATGAAGACTGCGACACAGTGGTACGACTAGACAAGAAGATATCAGTTTCTGCTGGGGAACTACGAACTGCTACAAAAATAGACAGCGAGAAGTTAGAAATTGAGCTGATCAAATCTTTGATAACTCAGGATCTGAAAAACTACCTAGAAGACAAAACGTTTATACCAGATCTGTGTCAAAAATGGTGCAGCGATCTAAGTCAGACCATTAAGAACTCTGTACAAAGCTTTAAAGGAAACGATTACAAAATTGTTTGTGTTGTTTACATTGCGGCAATAAGGGGTAACGGTATCCATGCTGCAGTGCAGTGTCTATGGACTCCCGAACAGGATTGCTTTACTACTGCAAGCTACACAAATGAAAGTTTATATGCGTTTGGTTCCTTGATGGCAATTAAGTATGACTAAATACCTCTGTCTTCAAATGACGCAAATTCGCGCGTCAAATTGGTTATCTTTCGAATATTCCAATAGAATGATTTAAACGGCTTTATTAAACAGGTTATGCAAATAAACTAATAAGTGTTTAATCACTTTATATGTTTGGCCGCTGTTGGTTGAGGTCAACCAGTTACGTCAGCTGTTAGATTTTACGATATGAGGGCACGTGGGTGGACTATTATGGCAGCTCAAAAGTCAACAAGTGAACAAAATGAGACGACTTTAGTCATATATCATATTTTATTCAGAAAATTGTTCAGATGATTATTAGATCAATTAAATGATAAGTAGAGATCTCCTGGCGGATTAGATAAAGTTATAAACTCGTTCGACTCTTTAGCGACTATTAAATAAACTCTTTTGGTCGGTTACATAAATACCATGTATTCCTTTCTAATTCTGCGATCTGTGAACCAGCGATAAGGGCTTTTTTCAACATCAATGTGACTTTAATAGCATTATTTACGTAATGTTATTGTGTCATTGATTCGTGTTCGTGAGATTTGTTCAGAGTTTAATGATGTGAATCAGTAAGGATTTGTGATTGCTTGAGAAACTAAATGATTAGATATATACACATAAGATGCGTGGGACATCATCATGTAGGTTTGTACTTCTCATTTTTTCCATTCCCTTCACTCCATTTGCACGCACTCATATACTATGGTAGAAGGCTTTTACTGCTTTATTTCCAGTTGTGAAGCTATTACGCTCAATTGTAATAATATAATAAGGGAATGAAAATCTGAATGGGAATGGTAGAAGGGGTTAAATAGCGATCTCCTGTGAGCTCCTCATCATTAGTTAGCCAGATGGGCAGCCAAAGGAGGGAAGTCCTAAATCAATATCAGGCAAAAACTAAGTGAATTTAGATGCATTTTAGGAATGTTAGTTTGAAGCCCCCACTTCAATTTCATTTGTGGCGTTGAAGGACACCACACAAGCCGCGTTGATGTTGCGAGTCTATTTTTGTACGCCATTCTACATCAAATCTGTAGTCATTCTCAATATTGACTTGACTCATGACTCACCAAATGATTTAGTTAAAAAAAGAACTAAATTAGTAAGCATGGAAACTGATTTAATTTCTAGTCGCTGACAACCCTGGTTACCCGTTGAGTACCGTCCCCAGTAAACTCGATTGATTTATCAATACTGCATGGAAATACAATATGTTTTGTCGAATTAATGAATTCAAGTTCTTTTCACTTTGCCAGAGGCAAAAAATGGTCATTAATTTGACTTCTGTTTATTAATAACAGCCGACATTATCAATACAAGCAACTGTCCTTGTGGACTCCTCCATTCAATGTAAAGTTTTATAATCTGGCATTTTAATCGATCATTAATAGTTGTATTCTCATCCTATCCAAAGCTGGTGTTCCGTTTGATACATTCTAGACTCCATTTAAGTACCTATTTGTCAACAGCGTTAATCATACGAAAACGAGTAAATTTAAGAAGTTTTCACCACGTCACGAAACTTTAGTCTCCTGGAGTGACCTGGGAACGAACGTCCTAACGGCTGCGAGAGGAGACTACGAAACTTTGAAGTGGTTTTATCGGCAATCCTTCACGCAAAGGCATCTGTTGGACCATTAATAGCGGGCGGTAGAGATGGACAACGAGATGAGTGGAAATTATTTGAGAGAACTGAACTTCGTTCTAAGGAGAGCAGGTTCTTGACAGTTTAAGTTGGTATCTATCTTTTATTACAAACCCACACTGTACTTGACGACTACATTGAAAAACAACCTACATTCATAAATACATAAAAACGTAATTTGATAAAATACCTATGACATCTAGAATGTGCAACGGTCCTGTTCTGATAGACCTGCCGTGTCTATCTGGTGATCACATGTAGAATTATAAAATGAATCTGTGCTTGGTAAAAGCCTAATTACGTCCCCAGGCCATTCAACGTGTGACCATTGCTAGTGCGGTAATGTGAGACGTTAAGTTTATCCCAACACCAATCAAAACAAAACAAAAAAACACGAATGATTGTGGCAAGAACATATGACTGTATCGATTCAAATCGTGGGATTGGATGATATCCTCTTGAGCAACGATTTTTTCTTAGTTGTGGCGATCGGTGCATCTGGGACATCGGAATAGGATAACATAAGCTGCAAACGACCCGCCGGCATTCCGTCTGAAAATAAGCAAACAATTATATTATTGATGAATCAATATTATCAATTAATCAATATTATCGATTATTGACATGCAGGTCGATGACTGACTGTGTGGAAGTAAACTATGACTGAATAAAGGATAGAATGACCTATGACATATCGATTGCCTGAGCAACTTACCATATTCAAGGTTGAGCCAGCTGGTAACTGAGCATTTTTCTGTTAGAATGATAAAAATAAACCTTGATTAATCCAACAAACTAAACTTTTCTCAAGCTGCATAATAACACAGTATGGTGACTTACCGTCGTTGTTGTTTCCTGACTTTTTTCCAATTTTAAAGTGGTGACCTAAAGATGCGAAACTATAGTGAAACCATATCGTTTGTCGGTTACTTTAACAATGAAAGATTTTACCTTTGAAGAAGTCCTTAATAGGTGTCTTACATATCCCTTGTGTTTTCTTTTTCCCATCTCTCAATTCGAAAACAAGGACTGCGTCGTTTGGAATAGATTGGCCACCAGAAGTCTGAAAAGTGATAGAATGCAGGCGTTTAATGGGAAAAGTGAACATAAATAAGTGTATAAGTTGTAGGATGTTTATGGTATGGACAGATTGCTTGTGATATTCCAGCTGGGTGTTAGTGGCATGTATAAATGATTTTCAGGGTGTTTATGGCATGGATAGATGGATTCGTAGTTCCTTGGTAATCATATGGTATGTTGATATTTCTTGCTGGACAGTATTGTCATTACCTGGAATATATTATTCCATTTCACCATTCCACTCTCTGGAGCTAATGGCGGCGTGCTGACCATAGGTACCTGTTCGTATTTGATGGTTCCTCGTCGGCCTTTACGAGGTCTGCAATACAGTCATCGATCTTATCAGTCCACAATAATAAAGGGAGACTAGCGCTGTGTAAGAGTGTTTTGAATCGACATATATAATACATGGTTATAATACAAACAAACACGGCGACTACCCAGTTACATGTACTCACATTTCAGCTCGTCCCTTGATGGTGACAGCTCCCCATCCTGTGCGAAAACAATATTACTTACAAACAATTTATGCTGAATTTGACCAGTACAGTTAAACATTAGGAATACTTCAAAGTGGTTTAATCAATTCCTCGGGCGATAGCATGTACCGTACCTTTTATATCGGACACCTGAATAACTTCACCAGATACACTAAAATACACAGGGGGACCTTCAGTGTTTGCTTGGTCTGGAAATACACAAGACAACTTATCAGAGCCAGGCAGCGGCCAATAGCTACTTAAACTGGTAAATTTTGTAAAAAAATTGTGTAACATTTTAGTACAAACCTTCAATGCTGTCGAGTGCAGCAGCAAACGCGTCCTTGCCCTCAGCTTGTCCTGAGTCCCCCCCTGACTCTCCTATCCCAGAATCACCCGCTTCTTGCTCTGTCTTCTCATCCTCGACGTCTTCACCAACGTCTGGAACCTGTAGTAAAGATGATGGATTTGTTTTACCAAAGGAAAAGGTATAATGATGTGATTGGAGGAAGTACAAACCTGTTCTCCTGGATTACATTTTTTAAGTCGTATCTCTATCTCTCCATTATCGACGTCTTTTAGTGTGTGCCAGGTTGCTCCTTTCTGTTGATTTACCAAAAACAAAATCAAACACTGATGTTGATCTGGGATAAAAATAGCAATTTCGACGATTATCAACGTTTAGGTTTAACCTTGCTGAATTCTTCAATGTCCTCTGGTGTAAATGTTACAGATCCCATGAAATCGTTTTGAAAAACGTCTTTGTCGAACATGTCCTGGAAAAGACCAAGTGAGTTTTAATGGGATTCCTGTGTTATATTGTGGACAAGAACACTAACAGTTTTGATACTGGTAAAGAAATGATTTTGTGCGAAAGGGGGGAGATGTATTACGATGTGAGAAAGTTTCAAAGCGAGTTTATTCTTTTCTGACTTACAATGATAAGTTTATCGTTTCCTTGTGGCATCGCGATGGACACAGATTCATTCCATACTGGCGTTAAGCTCTCATAAATTACGTTAGTCTTGAACTTCTTGGAATTGTTCACTCGTACAACACAGAAAGGGTCGCTAAGACCTGCGCAAAAACACCACACTCAACAATTTGAACTGGTGATTTTATCCTTGATATTAAGCGCCTGAACTGACACTAAATAAAATGACAAGAACCATGGAAATGATGATGATGATGACAGCTGATGATGAAGATAACGACAGTAATAACGATGGTGCTGGAAAACATTCAAGTCCTGCAAAAATACAGACTTCGTTATCTACAATCCTTGACCGAATATCCGACCATCATGCAAATAACGTTTATTCCAAGTCAGGCGAAAAAAACACACATTTTATATTAATAGATAGAGATTTACCGAGAAAATCATCCATTTGTTAGCAAACACTACTTTTACTGTAATTTGTATTGAGTGAACTTGTTGCGCATAAAGAGTTAAATTTAAAAACTCACCATTGCTATCCATAGACACAAGATTTCTTCCTTGAAGTAGAGTGACAACAAGGACTCCACGTTCTGGCAGAAAAAATGGCACAGTCAATAAACAAGGCCATGAATAAAAAGCTTCACATAACACAAACCTTTAATCAACATCATTTCTTCAATTTGTCGTTTAGTTTTCATACTACTCTTCATCGTGTGCTTTTTGGCGTGTTCCTGTAAGACAACAAGTCAGTGACAAATACTCGTTGATTGCAATAATCTATAGAAGTACAGTATCAGAGCCGACTAGCACTAACATTGATATTGATTCGATGTACGGTATTAGTGGTTCTTAATCCTCTAAATCGACTAGAGTTTTGTGTGTTCTAATTCTAAATGGACTAAGACGTCATAAAATGATATATTTACTTACATTTATGTCTTCAATAACATCACCACTTTCGATAGGAGTCAAGTCACCCTCTTTTTCTGTAAATGATTGAAATATTGGAACACCACACCCACAATATCCATTAAGTGTAATGGTTATAACCATTACAAACATCAAACTAATGGGAGTGTTTTTGTATAGTCTCTATATATCTAAATCCGTTTTTATCCCGTTTTTTGTCTTCCCTTTTCTTTTTTTGCATATAGACTACATCATGAGGACTGGTATATTTAGCAGCGATTTCACTGAGCAATGAAGAAATACGAATTACTGTTACTGGGATTATGAGACTGGTCCATACATTAGCAAATATTACCTGTAAATCTGTTCGTCATGTACAGTACATCGATTGTCCTTATTTAACCCGTTAAGAACATTGTTACTAATCACTGACTCACCTGATTTCTTGACGGATTCCACGGGTCTGAACACCGCGGACACCAAGATGGACCCAGCATCCATGAACGAATCTTCTGATCGCTTTTTGCCAAAAACTTTGTACTTTAGGTTGATCTTTTGTTTGATGACAGCAGGCTCCTCCTTTTGTAATTAAACGGTTAAAATCAGTATTTAGTAGTAAATGGTGGGCTTACAGGGTATAAATCCCTTCTAATCAGTTCATGCATTCATTCCCAATCAGACTAGAATTATATGACTCACTCGATGGTTTTACGATCCACTGTCAGTGTTACACCGATGACTATGTCATAATGTAATTTGCAGGGATTTACCGAGTCACGAATGTCTACTTACAGCAGTTAGATTCAAAGGACAAGATCCCATGAAGTCGTCTGACAAGCCTTGCCAGTTACGATCACGGTCGTACACCAAGAAGAATAAGTTTGTCTGAAATCCAGTCAAAAAGATTGCTCTTTTTAATACGTCTCATGTTCACTCTCGGCTCCTGCCCAAACAATTTATTAGATAACAAAACTGACCTTAGTTATGTCTTTCACGAAAAACTCTGTTATGGAGTCCCAAACGGGATTCACTGTTCCTTGTACATGCGTGGTAGTCTTGATCTGTAAACCAATAGACATGAAGATCATTGAAGACACTTCTATACTATTCTAGTTTATAGGGACATGCAGTCATACCTTCTCCTTGTTGGCGGTAATGATACAGTAAGGATCGCTGTATCCATCAGCATCCATTGATAGTAACTTAGAACCACTGTGCAGGACAACAAGGAGAACACCAGAAACTAAACAAGCACCGTTCAATGGTTAGATTTGAGAAGCTTTATACTTATAGGAGATAAAGGGGTAAACCGCTGTGTCTGAAATACCTTCATTAACAGGCTCGTTCATGTTGTATTTTTCCATAAACTCCTTCTCGTCTGTTCGACTACTAATTTCAACGTGTTTCAATGTAGTGTATTCGAGCGTCACTTCAAGTCGAGAACCTTTGATTCCTTCCTTCTCAAGAACTGTGTCACTAAAACAGAAAGATTAACAAGTTGAATACAATTTTAGGTTGTCCATGTCACTGGACCCTACGGCAATTATCCGCATGCAGTAATGATAGCTGCCTTTTCATTTTAATCGAGAATGTTGCTCAAACATACAAGGATCAAAGCTTGAATAAATAGTGGTGAGACATAAATGGAGCGAGTTGAAGTTGACTCTATTTTCAATGTATACATACACTTTTTTCTTCTTTTCAAGACCAAGGGTGTTCAAGAAGATTTTGTACTTGGCTAAAACATACTTTGTACCGAATACTCTCTTGCCTCTGATCTCAATGGCAACCTGCACAAGTATAGTAACTTGTCATTGACATTTGCTAATAATTGCATTGCTTTTTATTATCCTTACATTGTCAGTTGGCAGGTCGTAAACAAGAAGCGAAAATGATTCCTCCCAGGTCGTTCCTCCTTGAATTTTCTCTGAGCATTTTTCTTCCTGGTCGCCAATCTTGAATGATGTGAAGATTTGGTCGTCTACAGAAAGGTTCCAATCATAGAATATACATTAAGTATAGAATCTTCGGCTTTTCTCAACGTCCACAAAACAAGAAGATCAAGCGCCATACTTTCTAATAATGTTACAAAGGCACTGTGAGTGTAAGCTGAACATCGAGGCTTATTTTTTACCTGTAAATTTCTGTGGAAGTCCTCCTTTCACTGTTAACGTAAGAACTCCAGCAGCTGAAAAAAACATCCAACACTTCTTATAAACCAGCGCAACTGTGTTTTTTATGAATAGTGGGGCCGAATATACCAAGTTTGATGTGCCCAGGTATAAGATGCATGGCTTACTGACTTACCATAAGCTGATTTTCGCGATGCGTTCAGGAGCTCTTCTGCATCAACACTGTACAAGGGAATTTCAATCCTTCCAGGATCAACAAGGGCTGTCAATTAAATATCCGTCATTCAGTATTTAATGCATTTTATTATTTATATCCAACCCTAAAAGTCGCTTGTTAAGTCATGTAGCAACTTAACAGTTGCAGGGCTGTTATAAGATGGCTACTAGCCAGATACATAACTAAATCGTATAGATCATTTCTGACTAACCCTTTGGACTGTATCGTTTTGTTGTCGGATTCAGTAAGTTTGGAAACTAGTGTTTCTGGTACTACAAGGGCAGTAAGTGAAAGTGATTCCTACCATACGTTAGACTATCCATAACCAAAGCATTGATGAAATCCTTCAACATCGGTATATCCATGACTTGCACAGCCCGTAACATACACACGTCAAAGTCTACTTGAGGCCTGAAATAGAACGATGTTTCATCAGTCTCTTAGCGCAGTTTGGTACTCATGCTGATAATCTTACTTTTCCAAGAAAGTCACTGCAACACTTTTCATGTGTGGAAATGGTATGACGTGATCCATCTCAAATACAATCTGCATTCGGCCAGATAGATTAACATCCTCAAGACTTACATCCACATCAGCACCAACCCTGAAACATAATGTACGGCGTAATCAAACCTCAGGTCTTCTTCATGATTTAGAACGTTGTATAGAGTAAGTATCAGTAATGACGTTTGCTGGACACGGGCGTGTTTTAAGTATACATATATGGATAGTGTATTGTTTGGTGCAACCACGTAATGCTGGAAATAACTATAATAACAAGGTCATTATAGATAGTCGCCATCATACTGCATAAGCATAATAGTTGGACGATCAGTTAGAAAGCTGTAATCAAATGTAACGCTTTAAAACACAAACTTATTCTTTACTACATGTTATTGGGCAGGCAAACAATCCCAAACTTACATTTTTCCTCCAAGTCTGACGCGAATAATGATTTTCGTGTCTGGTGCATTTAAGCACAGGTCCATATTTAAAACAAGTAAATGTCGTTGTCTCTTTTGGATATCATCGGGAGGCTGAAAAGCGTTGTCAGTTGTGGCTGGTATGTTCGGTGAGTCACCTTCGTCGATGTTTTCAAAGACCTTGACATACTTTAGAAAAGGTGTTCTTTTACCAAACGAGAACTCCACCAGCTCCATGTTTTCTGATTTGAGATAAATTGTGTAAGAAGAGGGATGTTTAGGGGATAGTATGCCAGATGGTATATACCACACTGCAACATCTTATTATAGAACTGTCAATATCCTGTAATTCAGTTATAATACCGACAAATATTATGCAAAGCCCAAGGGTAAGAAATACAAGAGTCCTTCGAAATTTATAATAGATTAAAAATGACGAGCAAGCTACAATTGTAGGTTGCTGCACTGAATATCCTCTGGGTTATTTTTCAATTGAACAGTGTTGGAATTGATAAAATATTTATGAATAATATCAGTTTACATTAATGATTATCTTGATGGAGTTTTTATCTTTAAGAGGAATTTGTTTTTCTTGCTGTCAGTCCAGGGGAGGGAAGGGCCGGTTTTTTTTACCTATGAATGATGGTCTGCTGTAGTCCAGCACGGGATTCAGCGCTCCTCGAACAAGTTGGCATAATGATGCTTCACTGAAATTCCACCTGAAAAATTATCGTTTTGCATTTTATTGTTCGTTGTAAACATGTTATCAATATTTGTTTAGCAAAGTTTGAATGATAGGTAAAGTTCCAATATTGTTGCAAATATATTTCATTTATTATGAATATCTTAACGCTAGTTATTACGGCTAAAAGTGCAAATTTTATTGTTTTTACGTTTTAATATTTAGTTAACACCTCACAACGCTAAATGTATGATAGAACCAAGAGTTTAAATTCGTTGAATATTTTATTGTATTTTTATCAAGATATCACTTCAATTCACGGAAACAAAACTCAGTTTACGTTATTTCGTTATCAGGAAGTATTTTCGTCTGTGAGTAAATGTTTATTGAACTTGTACATCGATAACAAGCCACACTTGGATATCAGCAAGGCTATGAGTCTTTGGGATTTGTGCCAAAGTTTTTATATAGTGTAAAGTTCAAAATATAATAGTCTTAATTGTAAATGAGAAATATATTATCCTGCTTATTGTTAAGAAATCTATTAAATGAAAGAAATTGAAGTTGTTTTCAGAAACTTCTCTCCATCGAGCAGACACGCCTATCTAAACCAGGTATATAACTGGTACTATACTTGCAATTATAAACAAAAACATTACAAACGATATATACATGTAACTTAGATATTATTCCGAGCACCAACATTTTTTTAAATATCTTAATTATTTTCTAAATATTTTTTGCCTCTCTGTGGTCAAAACATAAACATCATATTTAATTGTCACAAAATGAAATTTGTAAGAAAACAATTAAAAATACAACAGTTCTTACCAACGGTTTAAAATGAAGTTCAGCCATTCTGTTGTTTCCTCGTCTCTAAGTGCTTTCTTTTGATGTACGTAGATCTCTGCCTCCTTGACTCGGCCTTCAATGATTCGACTGTTTTTACGATAAAATACCGTGAAATAAAGGGGAATAAGAAAAACACACCATAAATACGAGAAGCCAAAAGCACCCAGGAACCATGCAAGTGATAATAATCCAATAGCAAACAATGCCAATCGAAACTGTGTGTCCTGCCTCTCTCTCCGTTCTTTAGCCTCTTTTTCGCTTGGAGTTTCACTCGCCATTGTACAATATTTTGTAGCTAACTGTCCTGGTAAATTAGATATTCAAACGCGCAAGCTTAGCTTATTGGCGAATGCTTACATCTCACACAGAGCTGAAGAATTATTCTAATCTGCGATAAATAATGAATGCGGTACCTGTACTTGACAGTTCTGTTTTTCAGAGAAGAAAGCGGAACGGTTTATTAACGATACAAGAATTGATTCCTAAAAGCGCTAAATACTTGTATTTTACCAGCAGTTATTAGTTAGACTTCATGTTTTGGTGCATTGTAATGGCTTGTTCTATATCCTACAAACCTGTTGCAAAATTGAAAGCCGCCGAATAAGTCAAACATGGTTCATCAATATTCTACATTATTTTGCTTTTACTTAATAATCCACGTGTTCATCCTAAATTCATATTTTTGTTGCACGAATATTGCGCAGGAGGGGAGGGGTGGGTTTTAATTCGTACATCATTGTACATACACCTAATTGAAAAAACGTTGTCATCACTCAGCTTGAAGGTACTTTTTAGTAAAATACAATATTCAATTTCTCTATAGCAGTGCCTTTTGCAATAACAGCTGAAAGATCCTAAAGGCACAAAGTGTACATGCATGAGAAAACGTGAAAAAAAATCATGCTTACTTTTTTGGTAAAATATCAAGATGGCAGCCAAATGTGTCTGAGCGAGGAAAATTATAAATTGGACGTAAAGGCCTCCGATTTACACATCGCTACTTGACGTACAATGCAGAATCGTACCGTATATAGCTCTACGATTTGTCTCAAGCTTTTGAACTTCGGCTCGAAGTGCAGCGGCATGCATAATATTCTTGCTTTCAAACTGGTTCGGCACATATCCACCAGGTTCTGATGATGATGATGTTTTACCCGCTGTTGCTACTCGTACCAAATCAAACTTCCTCGTTTGGGCTTCCTTTGGAGTTAGCGGAAGATCTCTCATTCATTCTATTGTTCAAATGCAAATCAGGTCGTTCATTGGCTTAGTCTACTATCAAAGGACGACAACCAAGGGAGCTCTGTTGTAGCAATGGCAAAGCCTTTGACGGATAAAGAAGTTCGGGATTTAAGGGAATGTTTTTACCTTTATGACAAAGTTGGTGATGATAAAGTTGAATCAAGCCAGCTTGGTGAAGTTCTACGTGGATTAGGTCAAAATCCAACCAACGCTGAAGTCAAAAAGAACATTGCTGAAATTGATCCCGAGGGAACTAGGAGAATCTCTTTCGAGGAATTTCTACCTATTTATCAGTCCTTCAGAGGAAAGAAACCTAAATTCTCTACGGATGATTTTGTGGACAGCCTTAAAGTGTTTGACATCGATGGATCAGGAATGATCAGTGAAGGTGAACTGAGACATCTGCTTACAAGTCTTGGGGAAAAACTTACCGATGAAGAAGTCGATACCCTCGTCCATGGACTGGAAGACAAGCAAGGTCAAATAGATTGTGAACAATTTATTTCTAACGTTGTTTCTGGATAGTTCAGAGTGATTATAAGAAAAAAGTCTATGTATGAAAAGGCATTGGTGATGCTAGTAAACGCACATTTGAGTCATATTATAACCACGATGCATGATTTGAATCGATGAAGTAAAAAAGCTATATACAACCTTTATTTTAAAAAGTAAAAAATATTAAAAATGACATTTTATTTTAAACTGATCATGTAGTTATTACGAATTCATCTTGATGGACAATAAGGTCTGTCGATAGCCTGAAAAGTGTCTAGTTTCCTTTTTGCTGTTTTCCATTAGAACACTGCATTGGCCCAAGTCTGAAACAAAAATATCTTAATCTTCGTGGTTAAATCAAGAAACTGCCATCAATGGCATTTGAGTAGGTTTTCTTCAGTCATCTTTAGCATATCGCCAACAGATCAGTGTACAAGTACTGCGGCTTTTTTCGACGCTTGATCCTTGATCACTCAAGCGTTCATCATCGCTAAAGGAGAGGACTTCCATCAAAACATACGGACAAAAATATAGACTAAAATATATTTGAAGTATATGTACATTTTAGTTATTATTCCATCGATATAATTTTGTTAGTTTGGTGTCAAAACATCAGCTGTCGCTGTTCACAGAATTTTTGCATAATCATATTGCTTTTGATCTAAATCAAGCCATTGGCAGTAGGATTTTGAATGTTTATAGAGAGTAAATGAAGTGTTTAGTCTAAATTCTACTTTTGAATTGATCATAGTATTTTGTTTTAGTTTTAGTTATAAGCCAAGAGAGAAAAAGAGAAATGACATTAAAATCTAATAAACACTGAGTTTCACTTTCTTCACCCGGCAAGGGTTCAACCGTTCCGTTCGAGATATTCATGATGGCTGCTTTTCAAATTCGTTAATTTTTGGTACAGTTATATATACCTTGAATCGCGACCAGAAGTTTTAAAATCGGTTTCCGGATTTTTTCTCTCCAACTTGTTAGAAAATGATTGAAAAACTCTTTTCAAATATATTTATATACAAATCATTTCTGTTGATGAAATGTTGCATTAAAATAGGCCAAACTAAGTTGATCGCTCGCGTTGCAAGGGTTTTTGGTGTAACTGAATATGGATAACAAACTGATACTCGATTCGAAGAAAATACGCCATGTGGCAACAGCTGTATCCAATGGCAACGTTATTTCAATAATTTGCCTCGTGGTATAAATTACTATATTTTTACTCTTGAATATCGATTTAAAAAGACCTAATAAACGGATCCTCTGTTATTGGCTCAATAGCATTTTTGCTAGTGATTGATACAAACTCAACAAACTCTCAGTCGATTTTTCCTGATTTATTGTGGACCTGGCATTTTATACGCTATACGGGGACGTGCCGCCAACCAGGGTATCGTTTTTAGCGATTTTACTCTGGAACAGGGTATCGATTTCAACGAATTTTCTCTGGAACAGGATCAGGGTTTTGATGTCTCAGCGGCACACCCCCACCCAAGTTTGGGGGGAGTACCCCCCTGGGGATGGTCATATCACGTGCATACATCGCTTGTATTTAATATTATATATTTAATGTTTATGAATTGTGGCGAACTAGAACTCTAGGAATGCCTAGCTTTTTATTCATCGAATATACTAGACAACTTAAAGACAACTTACTTTTTAAGTGAAATTATGTTATCTCAGAAGTAGAGTAAGTGAACTTACATGTAAAATGTGTACATTACACTGAACTAGTATATTCCTTACGAATATATATGCTATAAAAATACCGCACTATAAATGGCAGCAATAAATAATAAAAACGTAGTGCTCAAGCTGCCTAGCAACATTTTCTTTCTTTCTTTCAGGTGTACTGTTTTCTACAAGTGCATTTATCATAAAATTCGACATGATATTATATCATTATAATAATAGATCTTCAAAAAGCTTTGAATTCTTTTTGTAATTGTCCAGAGAATTTTAATCATTTCGTTGAAGACGTGATTCAATATTCACTGAAGTGAACATGGAAACAATAAAATAATATTCCCTTTTTTAGATATGCTTGTACAGTGTGTTCAGATCTTCAATGCAATGTAGGTATCATGTTGTCGACTTTGTTGAACGATTACCAATTGCAACCACTGGGACATCACTGACAATTCTGAACACTGTTGCCTCGTAGACAATGAAATTCACGTCAGCTTTCTCTGAGCTGAAATAAATCACGACTCTGCTCAAATCCAGTTCACTGGAAGCAAATGTCGACGTTTTAGGTCAAATTCAAAGAGTAGTGCTCCAAGGTAATGGCTGACAACGCAAAAGGTGCAGCTATACGCTCGTCGATGTTGAAGCCTAACTTTGCATAAAGGCTTTTTCCAGCGAAATGAACTTCTGTACATTCCAGTATTAGCTGTTGAAATTTCTTGCGCTTATAGAAGGAGATAACGTTGCGGCACAGGCTCTCGCCAATCCCGCGTCTACGATATTGTGGAGCAACTGTAAGTCTCTGAAGCTCTATGGTTGTGGAATCTCTTTGTTTCATACCAACAAATCCCACCACTTTACCAGCAATTTCAGCAACCCAGAAACTTGACTCGTCCGACCCACATTGATAAAAGTTCTCAATGTCGTGGAGATCTGTTGTCATTGAGTGGTTCAGGTGATTCATGAATTTTACCCTGTAAGACAAGTACACTCCTACAACAAGTATGAATAACAGACCGATACCGATGTACAACGACTCCGTGATCGTAGTCAAACAATGGACAAAGAGTAACGCAGGGACGTTGATGTAAGGCTTTTGCAGTCCTGCTTCGAAGGCGGGGAAAATGAAGCTATTATGAGCTTCAAGATATACATCTTGAATGGTTTTGGTATCTGCAACTTGGAATGGTCTGATGTTGAACGAAGTCTGTGTTCTTTTCGGAGAGGCGCGCTTGTAATTAACAATATCCTCTGGGTACATCACTTTTACGCCAGTAGCCAATGTGACTGTCATCTTGGACACGTCACTGTGAAGAAAAATTGTATCGCTATCAATGGAAAATATCCCTTCTGGTGTATATTTTTTAGAATTTTGCAGCGTTTGCACAAACATTCTGACGTTTTTAGTAAATCGAACATCATTGCTATTTTAAGAGTTATTAATGAATAAGTTCGTTTCCTTACCCAGTCAATAGTCCAAAACTAGCTTGGCTTAGTTTTGCTTTGAAGGCGTCTTAACGGCCGATCTTCACCAAATCAACTTTATTTGTTTTGAGGATGTACTTTTTGACATTGGATTTCTTATTACGTATGCATAAAATAGTAGTAAATGTGGTAGGGCAAACACTAGGATACTTTCATGGCATGTGGTATGGGCAGATGTAGAATCCCCTAGAAGCTCTGCTTTAATTCGCGGGAAGGCAACTTCTCTCATTTCCACACGGGATCGAAGCGAAGGAGGTGTATTATAATGTAAAGCGAAAACAATTATTATATCATTGTCCTAGATGCTATTTTTGTCAGAAAGCATTGACCTTGGCGAAACTTTACAAAACCACAACATCACGACATACTGCGACAATAATCAATTTATCTTGGGTGTTTATGCTCCCCAGTTCCTAGACGTCTTCGTCAGATCGAGCAATCCCTTTCTTTCATTATCTCTGCATTTTTCCCATTCCTGTCCGAGGAGTGCAATGATTATGTAATTAATGAAAAAAAAAATTACAAAAGGTTTTGTACACCCTTTTCCAAATGTAAAACCTCCAGAACTGCGTGCGCAGACGAGATCAGTTCCTATAAGATGTAGTTTCATCTCATCAAAACTGAGATTTTGACAAAGTAACAAGCAAATTTCACTAATATATTTCCACATTAATGCGGTGTAGATTAACGGAAATTAAGACTGTATATTTTCAATGATATGAATTTCAATTGAATACAAACTGCTGAAACCTGTTGTGGTCAGCCAAAGACTATAGTCACGTTGCGTGACAAGGTCATGATATAATTAGAATAACAAAAATACATTACATCTTATAAAAAAATAATCTAAATGAACGAAATATGAACCTAAAAAAGAAATTACAGACTTTTTTTGCGCAGTCAGTTATATTTGTGGGCTACCTGTGGTATTTCATCCGGGTTTCTTTTTATCCGGGTCTTTTGTTGCAATGACTTATGGTTAAATTCATTGCACGAGAAATTTCAAAATGGCGACTTTAGCGAAGGCTCCCACAACTCATGAAGGTACAAAATAAAATGTTCTAGACATATAGCTTTAGTCCCATCGATGAGCTATGTTATATAACTTGTATTTTATCTTTTTATCTAGAAATTGAGAAGCAGATCCAAGAATTGCAAGCTCGACGAACAGGAAAGGAGAAATCTAAAGGTGTAGATGAAAGCGAGCGTGTTCTTGTGAGTACGACGTTCCTTTGACGTTCCTCAGAATTTCTTTTATCCAACTTGTAGATATAATGACAACTTGCATTGTAATACTACTGTAGCATTTCTCTAAAGTATCTAAAAATTTGGTTATGGACCTGTAAAGCGAAAAAGACGAAAAGAAATTATTTATTACACTTTAGAACTTTGAAGTTGATCTCCACAAAGCAGGAAACTCTATGATTACATTTAATATTATTTTTATTGTATTTTGCTTGAAAACTAAAATCAATATTCTCCATAATTAATAATGTTTTTATGTTTAAGGTTGGTCTTGGATCAGCTGGTCGTTTTGATACAGATATTTATGGCTCAGGAGGTGACAAGTGAGTGATATTTGATGTTATAAATTACTGGGTTAAAGTAAACATGGAAGTATAATAAGTCTCAAGATTATGGTTGTGGGTTGTAGTACATTGACATTTTGACTGCATGTTGAGGTACTTCAGTCCATGACATTTATCATGAGATAAATCAAGTATTCCCTGATGAATAAGTTAACATGTCTGGTGTAATGATTGTTCAAGAGATTATGTAACTAATTAAAGTACTGTGAAATATAGTGAAATGAAAAGAAAAACAATGCAGTGTGACAGTATTTAAGAAGTTTTTGAAACACTTTTGGTAGTTATTTTTCTATAGCATCATGGAATGACTGTAAATCCATTTTTTCAGATATGCTGGTTATGTGCCCTCGATTGCTGCTAACGAGATGGAAGAGGTAGATATAATTACATTTTTTGTTTTATTATTGTTTTAAATTGTTATACTTTGTATGAAGTCTATTAAGCCCTTTGTACAATAGAGACAAGATAAATTGTTATTTATGACTTCAATTTTGTGATGGAAAATAATGTATGAATATATCAATGGTTGTTTTTCAGGATGATGATGATGATTCATCAGCTTCTATCATGCAACCTGGTAAAAGACAATCCTATACAGCACCAATGGCTGTTCTTAATGACATGACCAAGGGAGAACAGGTCTGCTCATGATAGATATGTTTTTATTAGAGGCAGAATTCATTACACTCTAGGGATTGTTAACCTTTTTTATTGTTATGATTAATGTAATTCCTTTGATAAACATACCCTTTCCTATCAATATCATGCAAGGTTAGCAGTTAGCAATGTTTTTTCTATGTGTTTCAGGTGGATCCTTTTCAAGAACACAGACGTCAAACTATTGCTGAAAGAGAAGATGAATATAGAGCAAGAAGACGACAGATGATCATATCACCACCCAGACACGACCCATTTGCTAATGGTATGCTTTGTTCTGATTTAATCATTTTATTATTATCAATATTTTATTATTTTTATAATAACTGGTAGATGTTTATAATAACTGGTAGATGTTTATAATAACTGGTAGATGTTATTGGTAAACATGGTCTATCAAGGTTTATTTATAATTAGCAATCAGTTTGTTATTCATTTTATACAATGCTAATTAAGCTGTACCCTAAGAATAACAATAATGTTTATTATAGCATTAATTTTTTTATTAAATTATTACTTATACCTGCCCGTTTCTTCCATTTAGTGGTGGTTTTGGAAAGTACTTCTACTTCGCATCAGTTAGACAACTGACTATTAAATCAATGTTTGTGTATTGTCAAGTGGTACAGTAGATTCAAACTGTGCTATTAAAAGTACTTGGATTGATATTCAAAAAAGATTGCTTACTTTTTTATTGCAAATGAAGTTTTCTACTACACAGTTTTATAATCATTCATATTGATTGATTTAATGTGAAGGAAATATGAACAGATACTACCCAAGTGGTCGATTACTGACCTCTAAGACTTTTTATTAAGGTTCGACATTCATTGGCAGGATAACTGTCCTGGTTGGCCTTCTACAAGACTGAGCAATGGGTTGGTTCTCTGCCAAATTGCTGCCAATTCCTTCCAAACCAAACCAAACTTAAATGTGTTTGTTATTAGTGTTGATAGTGAAGTACAGTGTTAAGGCTGAGCCATACCAACCCAGTAGTTATTTGTTATTAGTTAGATTGTAGAAGTATAACTGGAATTCTCTTTGTAGTTAGTGAAGCTTGTAAGCATTACAATTAGGAATGCATCAAAAGTTTCTTGACTAGAAAGGGTTTTCCATGCATGCTATCTGCAGTGGATTGGATGGCTTGATCTTGCATTGGTTAAAGGTAGTGTGCCATTATAAGAGTGCTAACATTGTCATTTTTTTGTTTCTTTGTGTTTTGTCCAGGCGGCAAGACGCCTGATCCTAGCCAACTGAAGAATGTCAGAACCTACTCTGATGTCATGATAGAACAAGACCTGCGACGTGACCAGGTATGTTTTGTTATAAAAAACTTAACTCTTTGATTACTCTAATGTAGACGACATGCTTTAATCAAAGTGTTACATATTATTATATATAAGTAAATTAAATTGATAACTATTTATTTTTTATTTGTTCTCAAGGTTGAATTAGTCAAGCAAATTCAAGATAAAGCAAAGTCTGGTGATTTACAAACTACACAAGCTGCTCAACAGAAGCCAGGTAAAGTACCAACACATGAATAATAGCAACATTGATTGCATTCATTTCAAAACTGGCAACTCAGTGTTGTGTTTAATCGAATCATTTTTTAAACAAAGATATTATTTATCATTTTGTATTTGTGTATTTAGTAAATATTCATTTTATTGTAGAGAGAAAGCGTCGTCGTTGGGATCAGCAAGCTACAGGAGAAGAGACCCCTAAGAAGAAATCTGCCTGGGATCAACCTGAGGTGAATTTGAAAACATAAAATGACATTCTATGAATATTGTAGAAAAGATATTTATTGTTCTCTTGTATAAATGCCTTATAGATAGCAACACCATCAAATAGCAGATGGGATGAAACCCCTGGAAGACCTAAAGGATCTGAAACTCCTGGTGTTACTCCTCACAGACCAGGATCTGAAACACCAGGGGCAACACCAAGTACAAGGATTTGGGAAGCAACACCCAGTCACACTACACCAGGGCATGCTACACCAGGAGGAACAACACCAGGTTAGGAAATGAATGTATTCATACTCTATCAGAAACACACAACAATAAAGCTTTTAGAGTCATGAGTATAGACAGTGAGTATATATTGTTATGTTTCAGGAATGGCATCAAGTAGAAGAAATAGATGGGATGAAACACCCAAAACAGAAAGAGGAGAAACACCAGGGCATGCAACACCTGGATGGGCAGAGACACCAAGAACAGATAGAACAGGTGGTGAAACACCTGGAGCAACACCAACACCAGCCAGCAAGAGACGATCAAGATGGGATGAGACTCCAGCTAGTCAGATGGGTGGTTCTACTCCAATGGTAGGATCTAGTGGAGTAACTCCAGCAGGAGCAGCTGCTATGCAAATGCAGACACCAACACCAGGTATGAAAAACTATTTGTCATGTCATGTTGGATTAGTTCAGATTGTATTTGAATTACTCTTAGATACTATCTACATGAAATGAAATGCTCTACTTTAAACCCGTTACACTGAAAAAATTACATTGTGTCTTTAGGTCAGCTTGTGTCAATGACTCCAGAACAAATGCAGGCTTATAGATGGGAAAGAGAAATAGATGAAAGGAATCGACCATTAACAGATGAAGAACTTGATGCTCTTTTCCCCAAGGAAGGCTACAAGGTGTGACAATAATAGTGTAATATTTGATGATAGATTGTTCTGATACTAATAAATGTCTGTATTAAGGTTCTTGATCCTCCTCCTGGATATCAACCAATAAGAACGCCTGGTAGACGACTGACAGCAACACCAACACCTGCTGGTGGGACAGGCTTCTATATGCAGGTAGAAATAGCTGTGATTGTAAACTATTATTCCATCAGAAGTTGACATTGTTGATTTATTTGCAGCAAGAAGATCCATCAGCAAAAGTCATTGATGACCAACCGCCTGGTAATCTGCCATACCTTAAGCCTGATGATGTACAGTACTTTGATAAACTGCTGGTCAGTAAATACATGTCAAATTTACAAAAGTCACATCGTCATGCTTAATAATTACAGTACTAGTAGTAATATTGTAAATAGACTGCAGTCATTGAGTGTGTTTCTTGTGATTGTAGGTTGATGTTGATGAAAGCACACTTGGGCCTGAGGAGTTGAAAGAAAGAAAGATCATGAAGCTTCTGCTTAAAATCAAAAATGGAACTCCTCCAATGAGAAAGGCTGCATTGAGGCAAATCACAGACAAAGCTAGAGAGTTTGGAGCTGGTCCTTTGTTTAATCAGATATTACCACTCCTTATGTCACCTACCTTGGAAGATCAGGTATGACAATATCCTGTCAATTAATGTCCATCATGTCACTTATTTATTGCTTTTCTTCATCTTTCTAGGAACGTCATTTGTTGGTCAAAGTCATTGATCGTATCTTGTATAAACTTGATGACTTGGTCAGACCTTTTGTACACAAGGTAGGTTATGAGAAAACCTTTTTATTCATTCATCCTAAAGACATTGTTCTTCCACAGTGTTATTACCCCTTACTAAAATAATAATATAAACCTGTGTTTGTGAAGTAGCATTTTCATTTTATTTCTACTTGTTGTCTATTATGACCTTAAAATTTGTTCTATTAGATTCTTGTTGTCATTGAACCACTTCTGATTGATGAAGATTACTATGCAAGAGTAGAGGGCAGAGAAATCATCTCTAACCTGGCTAAGGTATGTTTATAGATATCAATTCATATTGGACTTCATCCAATAATTATTGATTATTTTGATTGTAGGCTGCAGGTTTGGCGACAATGATTTCTACCATGAGACCTGATATTGACAACATTGATGAGTATGTGCGTAACACAACAGCAAGGTATGTAAAAATCACACTCTCTCCGTGGAATGAACTTTTCAGTTTTAATATTGTATTGATCTTATCAATAGAGCCTTTGCTGTTGTTGCTTCTGCTTTGGGTATACCCTCCCTGTTACCCTTCTTAAAGGCTGTATGTCGCAGTAAGAAGTCCTGGCAGGCAAGGCATACTGGTATCAAGATTGTCCAACAGATTGCAATCCTAATGGGTTGTGCTATATTACCACATCTCAGAAACCTTGTGGAGATTATTGAACATGGTATGGCAAACAAGCATGCCTTCCTTTGAAGTTATTTTAAAACACAATATCATAGTAGAAGTGAAAACAATACTAATTACTATGCTTGGTATTATTGTAGGTCTTGTTGATGAACAGCAGAAAGTGAGGACTATCACTGCCCTTGCTTTGGCTGCTTTAGCAGAAGCTGCTACTCCGTATGGTATTGAATCATTTGATAGTGTTCTCAAGCCTTTATGGAAGGGTATTAGACAGCATAGAGGAAAGGTCAGTCTACTCTACAACAATCACTATTATTATATTCAATGTATTGATATTGTTGTATTTCTTTCCAGGGTTTGGCTGCTTTTTTGAAAGCAATTGGTTATCTCATCCCCCTTATGGATGCTGAGTATGCAAATTACTACACTCGGGAAGTGATGATAATCTTGATTCGTGAATTCCAAAGTCCTGATGAAGAAATGAAAAAGATTGTTCTCAAGGTACATGCAAAGATATGCTTTTCTTATCCAGATATTTTTTGCAAATATGCAGATCATTCAATAGTATTTGTAACTGTTCGATATTCACAATATTAAGTGATGATGTAGTACCTTGAAGTGTAGGTTATTGATTTTGTCATGACAAACAGTCTTGCAGTATTTGATGTTTTTTTATGTGTGCTTATAGGTGGTCAAGCAATGTTGTGCTACTGATGGTGTAGAGCCATCTTACATCAAACAGGATATTCTTCCTGATTTCTTCAAGCATTTTTGGCAGCACAGAATGGCTTTGGATAGGAGAAACTATCGACAGGTAATTTAAAAACGCAATATTATTGACAGGGATAATAGTAGAAACTGATAGTGAAACTAGAAAATTAGACCTAATGACTGGGTCATGTGTCAAACTTTTCAAGGTTAAACTTGCAAAAGTCATTATTTTGAATTCATTAGATGTTTCATTAAACTTTGAATAATATGATTTTGCTTGTTATGTTTATGTAACAGCTTGTAGATACTACAGTTGAACTGGCAAACAAAGTAGGTCCATCAGAGATTATTAACCGTATTGTGGATGACTTGAAAGATGAGAATGAACAATACAGAAAGATGGTTATGGAAACCATTGAAAAGGTGAGCTTACAATACATTATATATTATTACTGCAATATTGATAAATTACAGTTTGTTTCCTTTATACAGTGATTACGATATCAAAATCTGTCAACAAACTTTGTTGTTTATATGAAGTAATTTATGTTTTGCAGATCATGGAAAATCTTGGATCAGCAGATATTGATTCAAGGCTTGAAGAACAACTGATTGACGGCATATTGTATGCATTCCAAGAACAGACACAAGAAGTATGTATAATAATACATGTTATATTTCTGAAATTCAGCTGCAATATTCCATGGTATATTATTGTCTTGTATGTAGAATGTGTAGTATTGATTTTTCTCTAAAAAATGATTTTTTCTCCCAAGGATATTGTAATGCTGAATGGGTTTGGTACAGTGGTCAATGCTTTGAGTAAGAGAGTAAAGCCATACTTACCACAAATTTGTGGTACCATCCTTTGGCGTTTAAACAATAAATCAGCCAAGGTCAGACAGCAAGCAGCAGATTTAATATCAAGAATTGCACAGGTTATGATGACCTGTGGAGAGGTGAGAATATTACATGTCATATACACTATAAAAACAGAGGTCCTAAATGCCAAGACATTTATTAGTTTAACTATTGTTTCCTGGACATAATATTTTATTGATATTTGCGATTTATTTACAGGAAAAACTACTTGGTCATCTTGGTGTTGTACTGTATGAGTATCTTGGTGAAGAATACCCAGAAGTCTTAGGAAGCATCCTTGGTGCCTTAAAGGTACAAACGTTTTCACAATGTTGTATATTCTTTGAAACATAGTTCTAATAAATTGAAAATATTCATTTCAGGCTGTTGTCAATGTAATTGGTATGAACAAGATGACTCCACCTATTAAAGATCTGCTACCAAGACTTACACCCATCCTTAAAAACAGGTAAGTTAAAAATGTATTTTTTAAGATAGGAATCATAAATATTGTAATTGCTATTAATTTTTGTTTTAACTTGTGGTTGCCTTTCTCAGACATGAAAAAGTACAAGAAAACTGCATTGACTTGGTTGGACGTATTGCTGACCGTGGTGCAGAACATGTTGGAGCCAGAGAATGGATGAGAATTTGTTTTGAACTGCTTGAGCTACTCAAAGCACACAAAAAGGCAATCAGACGAGCAACAGTCAACACATTTGGTTATATTGCAAAGGCTATTGGGTAATTAATTACATCAGTTGTGTAAATTTTCAAGTATAATTCTGTTGTTTTAATCATTTACATTTCTTTGACCTGTCTTTAGACCCCAAGATGTCTTAGCTACTCTTCTTAACAACTTAAAGGTCCAAGAAAGACAGAACCGTGTATGTACAACAGTAGCCATTGCTATTGTTGCTGAGACATGTTCACCGTTTACAGTGTTACCAGCCTTGATGAATGAATACAGGGTTCCTGAACTTAATGTACAAAATGGTGTCTTGAAATCTCTTTCATTTTTGTTTGAATACATTGGTGAAATGGGAAAAGATTATATTTATGCAGTCACGTCATTGTTAGAGGATGCACTTATGGACAGGTATAGTACATCAAATACTTGTTTTTTTAAGACTACAAACAATTTCATGTCTTGTTTGATCTCTCAACTTAACACAGACTTCTCTTGCCTCCAGTATTTTTATGGCCGTTAAATGAATAATAAGTTATACTTTGTCTTTATTGCAGAGACCTTGTACATCGGCAAACAGCTTGCTCAGCCATAAAGCATATGTCTTTAGGAGTATTTGGTCTTGGATGTGAAGATGCTTTATGTCATCTTATGAATTATGTCTGGCCAAATATCTTTGAGACTTCACCTCATGTCATAAATGCAGTCATGGAGGCTGTTGATGGACTACGTGTTGCTTTAGGACCAGCTAAAACATTGCAGTATTGTATACAGGTAACTATTCTCAATAAAGGTTGGGTGTGGGTATTGATTATGTCAATGTGTTGCTTACAAGATTTCTTTCTGATTTTGTAGGGTATGTTTCATCCAGCAAGAAAAGTACGGGATGTCTATTGGAAAATATATAACAATCTCTACATTGGTTCTCAGGTGAGAAAGATATAAAGAAAGATTGAGTGGTGAATGCCACACGTCAAAAAGTCTTATAAGCTTTGTTTTAAAAATTTCAAACAAATGCAAAAAAACGCTATGAAAGAAATATTGATGTGATTATGCATGAGAAAACGATCGACACAAACACAAAATGACAAAACTTCAATACAAAAACACTGATCATATGATAAGTTTTTGACGTTTGGCGTACGCACTAAAGTGGACATTGAAATTGCTAGATTATTTTTTGTCAATTTATTTTTTAACACTAAGTATTTTTTATTATCAACAGGATTCTCTAGTTGCAGCTTATCCAACAGCCCATAATGATGAAAAGAATACTTTTGTTCGCTCAGAAATGATGTACTTTGTCTAGCTCTTCGAATGTAAATTTTTGCACATTTTCGTTCTTACTGGCTTTTATAATTATGATGCATTCTAACATCACAATATTGGCATTAATATTGATATACTAGTACAAAAATAGATAAAAACAGTTCTATCATGTAGCTCTATTCGCAATCTACAGGCCAGTTAGAAAAAATATACAGGGATAATATCAAAGTACATGTATAGGTAACTAGTAGTAAAGAATGTCATATCTTATTGAAAAGTTGATGTGTTCAAATAACATGTATAAAAGTTGTTAATAAATGATAGTTAGGATTCTATGTGATTTGCTTGATTTGTATATTTAGACCACGAAATTGAGTTAAAAACATGATTTATGAGGAGGTTGACCGTTAGTCATTTTCGCTTGGAGTACCTTGACATTCATAATTCCTTACACAGTTAATTTGCCACAATTCAGACCTACCTTTTTAACATTCAGCCTTATGGGATCCCTGTGTAATCTTGCGTTAGAATTGCCATGGCAACTGTTGAGAAACATCAAGCGCTTATCTGTTCACGTGACTCTATTGGCCAATCAAATTAGTCCAAGCGAAGGTGGATTGCATAGCAACAAGAAATCAACACCGGTTCTTTATAAAGAACTGTAGCCATCTTGATCGCAAAGATTCGAGTTTCTGCTGGTCTTGTTTAGTAGATTAATTCATCATGGCGTTAGCTACTGCAAATAGATTCTTCGATAATGAAGAAAGCATTTATAATTTAATTCCTCAAATCCATGAACAACCACAGAAAGCGCCTAAGTGAGTATTCTAAAATGATGAAGTTCTCATCGTATTCTCTGCTAAACTGCACTCGTATTTAAGTTGCCTTTCTTGGTTTGAAAGTTAAAATTCAGTTACTATGAACGAAATAGAATAGTTTATGTTCTAATAATCATATTGATTGAAGTTTTAAAGTTTGGGAACAGCATTGTTGCATGATAATGTACGTGAGTACCAACGTGATTAAAGCTCACTTTTGGTAAAACTGAAACTACAATCTGTCCTCAATATTTCTAATTTTGTCGCTATTATTTGTTATTTAATTTGGATTTTCCAAGTATGAGTTCATAGGAATTCATTTGTGTTTTTAAAAGCCTAAAAACTAAACGAAATAACACTTGTGTTGTTGTCGTTGTTATGCACATGTAGCATGTTTGAGCATTTGATTAATAGTACTTTTTGTCTCCTCCCTCAGATATAGATCAACATTTTCCAACTCTGTAAGAAATGAGTTCACAAATCTAAAGACAACTTCAAAAACTATGGTATGTTGATATTGTATTGTTTATTAGTATTGTGCAATAATGAACTTGTCCCAAATTTGAAGAAGTTGTATTAGTTTATAGTAAAGCATATCTATATAGTATATGTTTTCATGAATTGCAGGGTCCACCTAAAGTACCACTCCAGCCACCAAATGAATTTCTCAAAAAGCGTTCAAAGGAACCACAATTACCTGAAAGTAAGTACATTTATGTCACATTTTTATAAAGATCATGACTGTATCAGGGATTCTGTGATAAAAAAGTATCTGTAGTCCAACCAGAAATATGAAATACTAAGAAAGATTATTTATTTTCTATTATAGAAACTGATTTCAAGTATGCTGATGATGACAAGAAAAAGCCATCAGTACCAAAACACAATGAAAAGCCTCTAATGGGAATCAGATCTAACAAGAATTTCATCAAAACAAATGCTGTTGAAAACATTATGTCTGTTCCTAAGAAACCAGAAAAAAAGTTTGCTGATACAAGAATTGGTGCTACACATCCACTGACTCCGTCTGGTTTGACTCCAAAGTTCACTCAGAAAAAAGACTATGGACGCACTCCTGAATATTTGGAGAGAAGAAAAGCTGAGGTTGAGAGAGCACAGAGAGATTATGAAGCATATGTACAAGAAAGAATGAGACAAGGGGCAATGAGAAAAATTACTGGCAGTGAAAGGTAAACAGAAGATCAATTTATTATCATCACAATTTTAATCATCATTTCTTAATTATACAATATATAATAAATTTGTATTGACTTTTGTAATTTATGATGTTGTTTGCTTTATTTCAGACAAGGAATTATTGATGGTCTCAAAAAGAATTGGGAAGATCTTCATCATCAGTATCAAGGACTATCTGTTGTAACTGATACGGCACCAAAAAAGGCTAGGAAAGAACGAATGGAAGCTGAAATGAAACAACTAGAAAGAGACATTGAAACAATAGAAAAGCACAGAGTAATTTACATTGCAAACTAAGGACACTTAGCTGTTATAGAAATTTTGAAATATTTTTTACAAAGATAACTATATGGAGAACTTGATAAACTATATATAGTATTACTATGTGCCAAAAACCTAGTCTTTTTCATCAAAAAATATTGATTTAGTCTAACCATAAACAATGCACAAACAAACCTTTTTGAACATCCATAACTATGGTTTTACGTTTCAAGTTTTTTTTCTGGTTTAATCTACAATATTGTGGGTTGAAGTGTTACTGAAATAATCTCAAATTATGTAAATATGTACAAATAAAAGTAATGCAAGCAAGATAAAAGTTTTGTACTTTATTAACAATGAGTAATTAAAGCAGTACTATTAGACTAATTTGCCCACTACTCGAGGCACTTGGTTGAGTTTAGTATGGCGATGGAGAGTAACGTGATCAGCTGATCGGTATATGCATCACACGATTTAAGGGGGATGGTCCGACAGCACATTACATGGTATGACAGCGGGATTGACGTCTATTAGTTTCCTTATCTTAGAGGCACTAGTATAAATGAAAAAAAAGCATAAGATGAACACGTCTTTCATCCATTAGAAACTTTTAAGTAGCAATACTTTAGTATGTAATTAACGTTCTTTAATATTTGCACCACACCTACCCTCTCATTTTTCTTTCAGTGTTTTAGAGATAGAGAGATTGTTGAGAGTTGTCTCTGATAATTGTCACCAACATCCTCGCTGTTAACTTCAAATGTTGATACACTTGTTCGCTTTTAGGGCGCGACTCTGCATCATAGGCAAGAACAGCTGCTGTGATGTTACGAATTCCTCGATCGACTACATTTTTATCAGGCGCGAAAGCCAAGTTACAAGGCTGAGAGCTTTTGCTCTGTGCTTGGCCTAAAGATATAGCTCCCCTATCAATAGTAGTAATAAATGCACCATACAACCTTTTCATTGGTTTACGTTTGATATAACATCGTTCTTTAATAGCATATAGAATGTGTCCCAATGCAAAAACATCGCTTGACTTTTGATGTCTGCAACCATTGAAGAGCTCAGGTGACCAGAAACATGGTGTTCCTACCACTTGATCGGGTCCTAGTGATTTGGAGCTACTGCCGCAATGCCGTAGATGTATTGAAAAAGAAGCAAGACCCAAGTCACAAATCTTTACATTATTACTAACAGTGAGCAGTACGTTGTCAGCTTTCAGGTCACGGTGGACTATCTCTTTCTGGTGCAAAAAAGTTACAGCATCTGCAATCTGAACCATCCATTTCAAATCAAGCACTTTTGAATTAGGAATCGAAAGCCTATCATTTAAAGTACCGCCTGGACAATACTCCATGATGAAGTTAGCAACTAACTGAGATTTACTTGACTTTGAGATGGCGCAACTAAATAAATGAATGATATGTCGATGTCGAAGCGAGGCCAACATCGCCAAAAACTCTGTTTTTATTGCTGAAGCATGACTGTGGTTTTCAATATTTATTTGCTTCAAGGCATAAAGATATTTTTCTTCGGTATCTCTAACTAGATATATCTTTCCAAACGTGCCTCTTCCGACAAATCTTGTTTTCACATAAGCACGTTGGCGTACAAAGATAACATCCTCCATAACGCGGAAGTAGACTGATGGTCGAGTGGATTCTCAGCGAACAATAAATATATTCCTTGCTTTAACAATGTGCATTTACATTGGCTTTGAAAAAGAAGTGCTGCTTCAAAGGCCACGTCTTTGCAGTTCTTTTTCTCTTGATAACAAAGAAATGAATGAACAGCAGTGCCTGGCACAACGTAGCTTTCTAGAAACCCTGTTGCTAAGCTACAATGACAAACAGATGTCTCGTAGAACGTAAATCGAGACCGAGATACACTAAATATAGAAATAGAGGTCACAGTTTATATTTACTGTAGCAGTAATGCATTCAATGAAAAGTGTTTTAACAACCAGTAAAAGAAACATGTTTTTAATGCTCTTTTATGTTCTTATTGTAACAAAGGCATCACTTGTTGAATCTATATACAATAATTAAGTTCTTTGGTTTCAATAAAGTTTGTGTTCACTTTGTGATAAGCCACCAAATAATAATTTACTAAATCATTTTTGCTGATTTTAAGTTCTCATTTTCAAAGAAGCCTTGTATCTTAGGCAATATTAATGTAAAAACAATAATTAAAGTACAGAGTATGAAAACTCCTGTCTTCCAGACTTCCAGTGGTAGACCAAAGTACAATTTTTCTAAAACTGAAGAAGAGATTACATAATCAACCACTATTGATTTCTCTAGTTTGAAGTGTAAAATGCTTTCCAACCCTTTGATTATGCTATCCTTCTTTTGGTAATGGTTTGTCGTCCTTTTGGTGTTATCCCATAATGCCCTAAATCATATCAACATACAGGAAGCCCAACATAAAAAGGGACACAACAAGATTTCTTTCAAGATGACTACAAAAGGCTTGATCTCCAAAAATTGTTAGCCTGTGTACATCTGGTTTATGTGTTTACCAGTAAACGCTGGATGAACTCAGGCTAAAAATTGTGGAATCCTATGATAACCCATTCCTTATTACTATAAGCTATATCTTTATCATACCTATATTAAAATATACACGATCTTTTAACTTTGCAGAATTCCAAGGTAAACCAGTCCTTATTGCAGTTACCTTTGCGTACTGATCCTTGGAAACAAGAATAACATCAACATTATTTTATTAATTTGCAAACAAACATTTGCAAAATAACACCGTATACTAGTACTTACAGATTTTGAATTTTTGAATATCATTTTCTCTATGTTTAATAGTTTTCGTCCTTGATGTCCAGGTAAATAATTTATTGGACTGGTGAGCTCTAGTAGAAATGTTGTCGGTATCTACAATCATAAAAACAACAAATATAAATATTTGCAGAGAAAAAATAGAAAAAATTCTGATTAATAATAAATCCTTTGCTACTAAAGTATAATAATAGTTCTTTTATGATTGTCGTGTCTGCGGATAAAACTGTGGCACTTTCTCCCCCCCCCCCCCCCGACAGGCCTTACCGTTGCAGGGTATGATATCCTCAGTTCATAGTCACACTCATGTTCAAGATTGGTAAGCCAATAGATCCTTGATTCATTGTGCGAGAGATACTGAAAGGGTTAGAAAACTACCATAAGCACTGGAAGCACTATAGAATCGATCATTAAAAGAAATTATCATCACAAACCTCGTTTGGTTGCAACTGCTCGGGAACTAATCTAAATTAATTAGATGTTATGAAGGATACAAAACAAAATCTAAGAGGACTGTCATTGATTCACCCAATACACATACAGTCATGTCATTACCTCCTTATATTTTCGCTGGTTAGAGATCGAAAGAAGTATGAAACAACAAACAAAACATACAGATAAGATGTCAAGCTGTCCGCCATTTTGAGCGGGAATCATTAAAAAAGACTGGCACTACACCTGGAAAGAGTCTGGGTACTACAACGTTTTTGGAACGTTGAATACAGTAATAATTCAAAAACTCAAAAACAGAGTTGAAAGGAAACAAGATAATAGTTGGAGGCAAATTGATGTTAGATAATCAAAGAATTTAGGAGTACTTCTTCGACCCCTGCTCTTAGAACGACTCAGTAAATTTTTTTGAACAGCTAGATAAAATACACAGAAGCGCTCTGGTCTGAATTTTATTCTGAATTTTTAGTCAGACAAAAACATGCAAAAAGTTTAGCATCTTCGACGTTTACAAGAATTCGCTTTGCACAGCGTTGCTATTAGGCATGCGCACTCAAGTATGAAATATGAAACATATAAGTAGATCTGTGGCAGTTATAAAAAGAATAGAATGTTCAAAAAGCATATTTCTCAAATAGTAAATCTATGAAATAATATCAGTGTTAATATTTTGAATTAAAAACGAAAAAAGGTGATGTTTACGTCATTTTGTCACCTTAAAGTATCCCACACGAAAGAGCAGATACACATTGATATGAGCCCCAAGTCATCTCATTGTTATTCAGCTTTGCGCAGTGGCATTACCGTAGCCAGTGAGGTCTATCCGAGGCGCGGTTATTGCTGATTGAAAACTTTTCCCAATATCCCGCAAGACGGCTTGAAATATAGCCGGCTTTGCAATTTTTGAAGGCCTGAAAAAGGCCATACATCTAAAGAAAATAGAATATTTGAATAAAAATTTTAGCTGGCATAAAAAGAAATTGATAGTCAAAGAGGCTGTGAAAAATAACACAGTAAGGTTTCATCTCATGTGTAGCGTGACCAACAAATTTACTTTCTAGCTGTTATTGTTGCTCCCCTTGGCGAGAGAAGATATAGATTATTCCTTGCATTCCTCTGTCTCGGCCAATGATGTTTGCCGTCGTGACAAGCGCATTCCGTACATTTTTCTCGTGACAGAAAATAAACTTGAAGGCCAAACAGAAACTGTAGGAACAATCTGTCAGTACATATCTACCGTAAAACATTAGATAGAATAATAAAGAAATATTTTTGATAGCTGTGTGCTTAAAAGTGTCCATAATTTGTAAACGTCAATTTTTAATACCGCTTAAATGACCCCCGGCTCAATTTTGTCTTGAAACAAGACGAAAATAATAGGTTATTGTCTGAATCTAGATTCATTTTTTTCTGTACTGATTGTGTAAGCCAGATAAGTGGTGGGGATATTCACAGTATTTTAACACGGGTCACGGAATCAAATTTCCTAAATTGACCGGAGCCCATTTTCCGCGCAGCGCTTTCTATTTGCCCAAGATATAATTTTTCATTGCTTGGTAGTAGGTCTTGTTTTTTTTTTTCTATAATGATATCATCTTGTATACTGCAAAAATTATAATTACATTTGAAGACGATTTTTACAGCACGACTGATGATACTCGCCTCATTCCCAAGTCAGCGGCAAAGAAGGTTTGGAATGTAAGGTCACGTGATCATGGTCGTCTTGCTGCTCCAGAGTATCACTAAAGTTCGGTATTTTGAGCTGTTACTTTGAAATTTTCTGTTCTTTATTCGTCAGAAACAACGCTCTCGGCTGAAGAAGACATATATCTAAGAAGTAATGGCTGGTCCGGTGTGTGTATTAGACTGACGAGGCAACATTTGTTAACGAATTATTCGGAATTTGGAGCTTAAAGTTAAAGCGGCGGAATGTTGTTTTGAGGAACGATTTGCCATTTTCATCGAACGCTGGGTTCTTCGATGAGTTGGTTGATGAATTTTCAGTCAAGTCTTTTCTTCCCAATATCACAGATCCAAAGAAATATGTAGTGCATAATAAGTGTCTGGCCAACGGAAGACCTTCTAACAATCAAAACAATCTTATTCTGACAATAAGATATTTCATTGCCAGTTGGGCTGCTCTTTCGTTGTGCTCTTGGCCTTGCCTTGATGACTTCGTTGATGTAGTTTGGATTACTCGTCATGTAATGGTTATATTACTAGCTCATTTCGCCATCTTGGAGAGTCACAGATAACTCATAGAAGGTGAAATAATTGAGCTTGGCTATTAGTTTGCAGACCGTGGAATCTTAATAAGCGAAGCTACCAAAATGGGCTGAATTGGGACAGGCCAAGTAGATACAAATCAAAGCTGTACGATTTATGGCTCACAGTCAAGCATCGACTGAGGTATACCAATATTTTGTTTAACTCACTTTAGTTATAAAGGGAATTTTAATAACAGAGGGAATTTCAAGGTACAATGACTGCGTAGTATAAACTTAGACTAATTTCACAGCAAGAAGCCCGCTAAACTATCGCGTGAAAACTGCCTTGAAGAAGATAACTGCTTGGCTTTTTTGTCACGATTCAGCTCCCAAATTATGCTTCAAGGCAATTCTAAAATTGAATTTCTTGTTGAGGGCCTTTTATTTTCTTTGACCGTGTTTTAGGATTGTACTAGACATGTTTATGTTTATTCAGATTGTGTGCACTGTCAAGTCGAGGTGAAGGCCTTTGTTACACTGACTTACGAGATACCGATTCTTTTTCGTGGTAATAAAGGCGTCATAGATCCGGAAAGTGTTCTCATAGCTACCAATAAAGCCAGTATATAGCTAGCTATTTCATTTCCGTCCGTACTTCGTTGTCACGTTAGCAGGAATCTGCCATCGGTTGTTCTCAAGTTTGTTGACCATGTTCTGTGAGACAAGATATCATGCTTTAGAATGGTTTACTTATAACCAATCAAGACTTTGATTCGTAGAATAAAAAGCAATGTTTTCAGGTCGTGAAATTGCACGAATTCGAGCTTGAATAAGGCGCGCTTATGCATAATAATGATGATGCGAGACTGAAATTACTGAAAGATATTGGACTGCATACGAGAGCTGCTGTCGTTGAGCTATATCGTCTTTCCTTTAATAGCATCATTCTATTAACATTTGTTGCTTTTACTGATAGAATTATTCAAAAATTGATTTAGTATTGCTAATTCACAAGTGTATATTATATTTTTTTATTCAAGGTCATTTTTTTAGTGTTAATTTTTCATGAATATTCATTGAGCGCTTTACTTTACTCTACAAAACAACATCAAACTGCTCTCTTTAGCGGTCAATATTTTCATTTCTTATTTTGTATATAGCGAACAATGATTGCTTTGCTACACATGAAAGCTGAAAGATTACCGTTATGTAGCTTCAGGGAATACTTACGTTATATCAAAATCGGTAAATGTGAGTTCTAAGTTTGTGTTTTTCACGATAATGCAGCATCAAATCAAGCTTACATGGTTTTAGCGACGAGAAAAAATGTAACAAGATCTTATGTTTAACTGCATTCAGCAGCCAGTGTCAACATTTTAAATCTTTCCATTTGGCAATTGTTCAGAAGGAATATTTAAGAGATTGTGTGTTGTGAAGCCAAGAGTAAAGTCTGTTATTGTCTGTTGATAACATGGACTATTAAGTGCCATCAGAATACTCTCCATAGTACCATCAAACAGAGCACCGAAAAAAATATATTGTCTTTCAATAATCATGTCAATATTATAGTTCTTTATTCAATTTACATATACACAATTAAAACAGAACTTTCAACTTAAGGCAATCCTTGTTATTTTAAGAAAAGAACTTTTGTATACCTAAGAACAATGAGTTAGAAATGTATTCATATGATATGCTAATATTGCATTGACACTATCAATGGTTGGGATGGAGTTCTCGTTGTTTTGAGTGTTTTTTGATTGAACTCTTTGAACCTTGTCCACTCGTTTCATTAAAGCCATTACTGGAGTGACAACACGAAACCTAGTAACTTCTATCTCCCGATACTGTATTGGATTTCAACACAGATAAGACAACCTCTGAAGGCAATGTTTATGATTTGGCAACACAATGATTATAAAGATTAAGCTCTGATTGATAAATATTTACTATTACTTATAATTCCAATGCTTAGACTAGTATTATCTAAGATGAGACAGTAGGTGATGTATCAATTGTTATTCCACAGTGTCTTATTAACCTTGTATTTTGTGTTTTTCCAAATGACTGCCTGTTATTGATAGATTACAAATAATACAAATTGCACATAAGTAGATGCAGACTTCAGCAACATATTAACATAACTACACAGAGCTTTGAGTGTACAAGTATTTATTTGCCATGCAATCACATGGGTTGTTGCCAGGACTCAAGCTGATACGGTAATGCTTTGGGAGTATCATTGTTTGCAGTTGATTTTATATTTAAAATTATATTCTTATATTAAAATTGGTTATTGTATTATTTTTTACATTATTTTATAATTATTTCAATAATAATGTCAACAAATCCATTTTAAGGTACTATAAATTGATTAATAAAGATATAAAGATATGAATAAGATAAGCTATGCATTTGACTACAAGCAATGTAGTCTGGAATCAGGTTATTTAATCATCCAGGGTTTTTTGTATTATTCTTTTCAAACAAAAACCTCTCTTACAGTGTTTTGTTGAGAATGGTGAAAACTGAAATTATAAGATTTACTTTTAGAATGGTTTTCAGTTTTGTTAGGTGGATTAGTTGTTTTCATACAAAGACTGGTTCAGAAAAGGAAATAATCTTTATCAGTGATCCAAAAATCTAACTATTGTGACATGATATTATTGATCTGTCTATCAATGACTTAATCAAAAAGGCTGTACTTCCTGGAAAGACAGGTCTATGAGATGACACTTTGTATAATGATAAACAGATGAAAGTAGTATTGAACTGGATGATGAGATATAATTAATAGTGAAGACAATCCTTATTTCAGGTCAACACATGAACCTTTTGAATTGTTATCAGAGTCAGCCTTTATACTTCTTAATTTATTTAAAATACCATGATATGTTAAAAAGTTATGTCTGTGTTGATGATAACAGAGTAATAATGACAAAATCATATCAGCTTCAGGAGTTGCTAGAAAAGAGTATTAGCTTTTTTGGGGGTCAAGTTGTGTTAGCAATGTCAGTAAGTTGCTAATAAGCTGGTATTGCAACATGCAGCTGTTTTAAATACTTTTCTTAGACAAGATAAAGAGATTCAAGCTTTGCTTGTGATAATTAGGTCTGCTCAAAATAACTAAAATTAAGGCCATCAGTTATCTTTAAAGGGAGTTTCTTAAATGACATACATGTAACAACTTGAACTGTCAAAAGCAGTATGTATATATTCCTGATGATTATGATAAAGTTATGTTGTTAGATGATAAGTATTCTGAATACTATTTTTGTAATATTTATTAACTCATTAGATGGTTAATTACCAGTAATCATATGTCTGGTTTATATTACAATTCATTTCACCTTTCATCTTTGTTGTGCTGTAATGTACAAGTTGTGGTATTTAGTCATAAATAGTAATGTCTTGATGATGAGAGAATATTTAAACTTGTTCTCATTAGTCTTGTAAATTATGTCTAAAGGTATACTTATAATAAATACTGATTGATTTAAAAGCGTTCTTCTACTGATTGATGCTGATATTGTCACAGCTCTTAGTGTTAGGAGATTTAAGGCCTGGTTCATGCATTGAGCCAGTGTTGCACCAAACCGAATAGTTTGAATTTAACATGTGAGTAGCTCAACCTATGAATCAATTGAGTTTGGCACAACCATAGAATGTCAGTGGCACAGTAGTGCCAGTCATGCTGCATAGTAAAAGCTCAATGCTGATTCCAACGTCAAGCTTTCATCATACCAAGCTTAACACTTCATAAAATTATCTGTTTTGACCATAATAATTGATGTAAATTGCGTTTTATCAGAGCTTTTCTTATGCTATGGACTGCATTTGGTTCAACGTATGAATCAATGCTGTATGTATTTGGGTCGACATCAACTGACTATTTGGTTCGGCGCAATGTAGCATGACATATGAACTGGGCCTACATCTAATATGGAAATGTAAAATTCCATCACAAAATGTATGAGCAAACTACAATAAGACACTTATTATATTGAGGTGTTGTACTAGTGCCTAATGAGGTTGTTTATTGATAAAGTGCTTTAATAGTTGGTTTTGACTTTCCAGGAAGTTCAGCTGGTTCCAGCAGATTCCAATGCAAGCCATAATAAAACAGTTACACCAAAGACCATAGTTCTACATCGTGTCAGCAACAGCTTTGGTTTTACCTTGAGACATTTTATTGTTTATGCTCCTGAAGTGATAAGTTCTGTACCATCAAATGAGGTCAGTCACATAAATGTTTATTGTTTGTATACTAAAGTAATACCAACATATGGAACGTGCAATGTCAAACTCAAAATTCTTTGTCAGAAGATAATCCTACAATAACATACCTCGCATGTAACTTTATTGACCCTTTTTATTTTATTCATTTATTCTTTTCATCTAATAAATGACTTGGTAGTTAACTATAAACTATATCATCAAGGCAAGGAAGTGTTTTAAAGGGTAAATTAGAGTCTTTCTCTATTGTAAAGTTAAACTGAAACCCATCAGTTTTGATATTATGGGTTTGTGTCAGTATTTTTTTTCTGTTTCTTTTACGATGTCTTAACTTATTTAAATAGTGACAATCAGCCCTTTTCATTTATTTTCTAGAGCCGAACTATTAATGGGATTGACAATGAACCGTCTAGAAGTCAGCAAATTGATGCCATATTTGTCAGACAAGTCTCACCTAATGGCCCTGCAGACAAAGCTGGTCTGTCATCAGGTATAAAAACATGCCAGACGATTGGCTTCTGGTGATCTGCCCATGCTAATTTCCTATATCAAAATTTTAAATGGTCTTCACAGGAATAACTCATTTTGTTCAAAGAATTGTCTATTTTTCTGTGAATTGTTGAACTGGATGTCAAATATTCCAGATTTCTGATGAAAAGTTGCCCTTGATACTCCCCTTATGCTTTGCATCAAAACTTTGATATCAAACTAATCCAAGATTGTATGTTTTATAGGTGATCAAGTAGTTTCTGTTAATGGTATTCATATCACAAACAAGTCATACAAACAAGTTATTGATCTTATCCAAAAAAGGTGATATAATATTATCGATCATTAATAATTTAAATCATGTTGTAAACCATTAAGCAGTTTTGATTGAGACACTAACTATTAATGTACATTTATTTTAGTCATGACAGTGTAGAGCTTGGTATTATACCTAAGGAAGAATGTATTTTGCAATTAGTAAGTCTGTTATTTTCATTGAGATCCCCGTGGTAGGAGACATGGAATTAGCAGAGAGTTTAGAAGTGCATTCTAAGTTCTCATTCCCTTTTTATGCGACCATAAAGCCAATTGCTGCTCATATTAGTAATTATTATCTATTATTGGTACTTGTTAGGTCAGTCCAGTTATGACTGTAAGTCATCAGTCTGTAAACAAAGCAAAACTTACCGACACAACTACCTCACCAAGTATTACATCAACAATGACTATTGCTCCAAGCCAACCCTCCACTAATGACTCTCAGAGCAGTGCGTCATTAATGGTCAGTATCAGTGACCCCCCTGATAACGTGACTAGAAGATCATCTGTAGATAGACATGCGCAGGAAAACAGGAATTACGTTGTGTCCAACAAATATGATGAGGTCAATAACAATTCAGACGAGAATAAAAAGTCCAACCAAGGGACCAAAGGACCAGGTGGTGGGACGTTTTTCTTTGCAACTACTGATTACACAGGGAAACCAAAAGCTTTACACTTTCAGAGAGGTACAAATCTAGACCAGCTACAGGTCGTTGATAATGGTAAGTCACGGTCCAAATCTCTACCAAGTGTAGAGATGGAAGGATTTCAGAATTGGCAAGAAAGACATAAACACAACATTCCTTCACAACGTAATGGACCAAAAATGTCAATGAATGAGAGCTCGTTAGAAATCAATATTAACCAACCAGAAAACAAACCTGTTTTATCGTCGTCTCGTGTTGTTGCGTCTGACAGTCCATCTACAGTCAATGTTAGCACAAACTCTGACTTCATGTCAAGACAGCCTATTGCTAGGGAACCAAAGAGACGACCTAGCACCGAAGAGTCTTCGTCGTTTCTTGTGAAAACCATATCATCCCATATGAACCGTGAACGAAGTCCTAGTGCTTTGCAGTCGTCAACAGTAGGTGCAACGTTGCTAGAAAGTCAACCTACTGGGAATAGCGACGCCTCACAACCCATCAATGTACAAACCAATCAGGTCTCTGTCTACACAAATTCATCGGAACAAATTCAATTATCACTATCAAATGAGACAGGAGACCGCTTTGGTATTAATAAAAAACAACAGACATTTGAAGAAAGACGAGCTCAACAAGCCGGCACTAGTCCAAGGCAGCGTAGAACATCCTATTTGATGGCTACAAATGCAGCTAACAGAAATTCAACTAAGTCCAAACCATCAGGGATTAGCTATGGAGGTGTTGTTAAAAAGACGCCTACATTATCATCGGCCTTGTCATCTACATTTATGACACCTATGATGGCCCATGTATCATCAGGTACAGACACGCCCAAGGACGAAGCACCCATGGACGAAGATGAGGTATGTATGCTCGCTTCTTGATGTGCCTGGCTTGTCTGTTTCTGCCGTTCAATACAACAATACAGGTTTATTAAGTACGTCATTTTTGATCTTTTTGTGTGGTTAACATCCGTTCAGTTGGTTAAAAAAGATATGTATTTTTAATTAACCTCAGATGAATATTAATATCCATATTGTACAAACGTGGGTTATAATTTATCTTGAATTCTGGTTTGTTGTAGATTTTTGTAGACAACGAGACTGGTATTGACGTCTCACTTGGTCCTCGGGTAGGAAGACGAATATCGTATGTAATGGCAACATCATCGTCAACTTCTCCTCGTGTAGTATTAGAAGGGATGAAAGAAGAAGATGAACAGTCCAATGAAACTGTTTCTGGATTAATGGAGGTAGATTTGTCTTATAATCAGTTAACTGGGTTAATTTCCTATGTTGATATCTACGTATTGTGGTCGTTACAGGTAATCAAAGAGGGTTTTTTATGGAAGAAGCTTGTCGTTCGTGATGGTGGAAAGGTATGTATAACGAGTGTTACTACTACAACCCGGTTCTCCATTTTTGCTTACAAATTATATTGTTCATTTGAATTGTTAACAGCGATCAAGCTCACGTTCTTGGAAGGCTGTGTATTGCATTTTACGTGGACATGTACTTTATTCTCATAAAGACAGAGATTCAGCTCATCAAACAAAACCGGTAATGATTTCACACGTTCTTGCAATGTGTGTATTCCTTGCTCACTCCCTTCTCAGAAAACCTTGTTCCCAACGAGAAATGACCTGGGAATCACGATGCCCTGCCAGATTTCCTATTTTGTCTCCACTCCCCAAGACTTGAATCACAGCTAAATGAAAAAACACACAAGTTGCATATGCGTCTATGTCATGTTGATCACGTTACATGGGACGTACTCTTTGTGTTTCAGGGTGATAGTGGTGATGACCAGCAACCAATCAGCATCAAGTCTTGTATCATCGATATAGCACATGACTACACTAAGCGTAAAAACGTTTTTCGCCTCACTACATTTAATGGCTGGGAGTATCTATTCCAGGTATAGTGTTGGTCCCACAGCAATCTCCGTCAAGAGCAGCAATTGTATTTTCAGTGGTCGTTCAGTTAATTGATGGCTTGTTATTTGTAGTGTGAGGATGAGTCGTCCATGTTGAAGTGGATCGAAGCAATACAATCAAACAATAATCCTGATGAAGATGTGAGTTTTACGTTGATATTATTTTTGTGTTCATAAAAGATCGATTGATTATTCTTCATCCTTTAGGAGTCTGGTGTCACGAGCCAAAGTCTCATCATCCGAAGAATGAAAAATGTAGAACAAGAGTCTACAGGGTTAGTTTGACAGCAATGTGCTTCCTGAAGTTATTCTTTGTGAGGAAACTTTTCGTATCGGCTCCCTTTAAATATCAATTATGGGTATCGAGGACATTTTGTTTTAGCTCACAGTAATAATACTTTCTCGACTTCGAACGACGTCGGTTTTTCACAACTTCATCACGCATCATAGGATCGTAAGTATCTCTGGCATCAGCTGACCTGCATCAACGGACTTACCTTATGCAATTCCCTAGCCAAGAACAAGAGGTGTTTGTGTTAAAGTGAACATGCGCCCCAAATTGGAAGTTGTTGCGACAACGACATTGTTTCGTTAATGTGTTTAATTTTAGATTTCTGTGATCATGTTCTAGGACCTCTCATTCATCTGGACATAAACTCACCCCAACTCCTGCTAAGATCCCTAATTTCTCAAATCTAAAGAAAAGTTTGTCTTTCAAAAACATTTCTGGGATACAAAATAAAGGTAAGTATAATAAAGGTGTGTCTATACATCGAGTAAATTTGTCTCAGGAAAATGTATGTATAGAATTATAAAGCATGGAACTTGGTAATCGTGACACTGCTATACCTTGTTGATACAGACGAAGGCAGTAAAAACAAGTGGAATAAAAGTAGCAAAAAACGTAAAAAGCAGTCACCGAACATGGTCAACTACGTCCAAGGTGTGTATTCTCGTGGTTTTTAATATGTTTTATTTGTTTATGATACGAACAGTTCTATTTTGTATCAGGTCATTCTATTGGAGTACCATTGGAAATGTGTCCCATGTCAAGAGTTATCAAGGTATACTGTACATTACACCTAACATCATTACATCATCTTACATTACATCTCATCTGTTCTTATGTTTGATAGTGCGTCCCAGTACTAGTGGAGCATTGCTGTGACGTGATAGACAAGAAAGGAATTGAATGTGTTGGTGTTTACAGGTATGTTTTAGACTGCCATTTAACAGGAAAACAACAATTTCATTGTACAATGTGATTGGACTATAGCAGTGTTTATTCTTGTTTTCTCAGAGTGCCTGGTAATTCAGCTGCGGTATCGCTGTTACAAGATGAAGTCAATAATAAGGGCGCTGAAAGTGTGAACTTTGAAGAAGAGGTGAGAAATGAAGTTAAATCTCGTCAGAAAAGCAGGGCCACTTCACTTGAAAGGCACACCCTTTTTGCTCCCTATAGTTCCCTCTTTGAACTAGTCGTCACATAATACTTTTCACTAAGATATGGTGAGATGTGTTGTAAGAAAATCCAGTATGTGATATCTTTTTATTAGAGATTCTAAAAGACTTATCATGTTTTCAATAACTGTGTAAATCTTGTGTGTTCTTAGAAATGGCACGACGTCAACAACATCACAAGTTTATTGAAACAATTTTTAAGGAAACTCCCTGAAGGTCTTTTAACTGCAGGTGAACTTCTTATTATAAGTTTCGAATGCGAATGTAATCTTCGCTTAGTTCCTTGTTTTGTATTTGTAGACCTTTATGAAGGGTTTATTGAAGCCAATAAAAAAGAGGATCCTGTAGAACGTATGTGGGCTTTAAAGTGTCTGGTAGGTACACGATTCACTGCGTGTTTCACCCACCCAAAAAAGTGTATAAGTGTAAACGTTATCCATTCATCTTAGATAAACGAGCTGCCTGAACACAGCTTTGAGACGCTGAAGTTTCTGTTGGCTCACTTAAAACGAATAGCTGATAATGCTGAGACTAATAAGGTAGCTATACGGTTTTCGTTTTATAATATCTTTTAGCAATATCGTTATGTAATACATGAGTTATTTTTTCCGCGTTCACTTTTCTATTGGTGAACCTACTATTGTCTTTTCACGAGAACTAATGTTTGATTGACAGATGGAAGCGCGTAATTTAGCCATCGTTTTTGGACCTACACTCGTCCGTACAGGTGAAGATACTATGATCTCTATGGTGAAAGATATGTCAGACCAGTGTCGTATCGTCGAAACACTACTAACACATGTAAGCTATTCTTCTTGCAGTAACTTAATCATAATTATAGATTCTGACTTCGATCATACCACAATCATAGAATTGAATTTGTTTTTGTTCTTTAGAGTGACTGGTTCTTTGAAGAAAGTGGCGAGGGAGATGAACCTCCGAGCAAGGTAAGTTTTTGTGAGTTTATATTCCTTTCTTGAATATTATGTTTGACCTGTTTTATCGTGTTTTCTTAGCCTCCTGTCTCTGCTGGAGGACAAGATCATTTTGTATCCATGAGAGTGTTGTCTTCGCTTGGTCAAGCTGCTGGCAACTTTGGTAGGTTGCGCAATTACTTATCAATTACCAAAACAAAATACCAACCGACAACCAACAAACCAAACAAAGCCGACCGGATCCATTAATTCAAATTACTGATTTTTGTTGCGTTGCTTAGAATTGATATCCTTTCTTTTCAATTTTTTTCAGGTGAAGATGGAAACATGAAATCAAAGGTATATATTTTAATGATCGGTCAATTAATCAATCTTTCAATCAACCAATCAGTCAATCTATCTTTCAATCAATCAATCAATCTTGACGATTCATTCTGCATACAAAGTAAGTTTGAATTCCATGTTGTTTTAGTCTGGTGGTGGTTTAGCGCACATATCTCTACACATTCCCAAATTCCGTGGTAAGCATAGCAAGAGTGAGTCCCACGATAGTTCATCTCCTGAAGCGGTCATGTCTGATGGTAGTGTCTCACCCACCTTAGACCGAGGGGGACTACCGATCAGGGCGGCAGCAGGTTCCTGTCCCGGTTCACCCACACAAGAACGTCATAAACTGGCGCCAAAAAGAAGTTCCGACTTAACTTCTTTGTCAACGGGTTCAATAACTCCAGCCTTCGAGGTGGTCGATGATTCTAGAATAAGAGGATCTTCATCATTGAAGGCATATTCGTACGCCCGTCCTCCACCCCCTTCGTATCGAAAAGTTGGACCTCAACGGGGCATGAATCAAACAAGTGAGCCTGGTCCTGAGGCAATGCCGGTATGTGTGACGTTTACTGGACCGACGACGCCTGAATCAGAGATTGCACCAAAGTTTGAGTACGATCCTGACCAGGATAGCCATACATCCAAGCCTTCATTTGCCTCGTTAAGTGAAGAAACACGGTTAAGACTGCTGAAAGTAAGTTTACATCAGAAAGCCATGGAGAAGAAACGTCAATCTGAGAGCAGTAGTCCTGGATTGAGTCCTCCATCGTCATCACATTTTGATGCATCGGACGATTCCCACCCTCGTAAGAGTACTGACTCGGAGAATTTTGGTAGTAGTGAACATTTACCGAGTAGCAGTAACACTAGTCGAAGCAGCAGCACACCAAGCAGCAAGACTGCTTCACTGGACTCACTCCATCAATCTGACAACCCGGAAGGACGCAAGATACATCCTGCACGAGTTACCACTAGTGGAGGGTGGAAGGCAACACCTTCCCAGTCGACCGTCACACCAAATCCTCCGCCTCCAATAGAGACAAGCGAAACTGTTGTAACAGTAGTCCAAGGCAAAGATGTCAAAAGCTCCGCAGGGGAAGCCAAACGACGGCCATCTAGCTCAGATATTCGAGCAAGAAGAAACACTGCTGAAGGCTTGCGCGTACGACCCTCCATGCAATCCGAAAGTAGCGACTCTTCAAGTGAAGATGAAGCAAGCGAGTTACAACTGAACATGTCCAAGAGCTTTGACGAAAAGTTAAGAATACTTTTAGACCTGAACTACCCGTTTAATCAAGATGGAAGAAAGAAAGTGGAAAATGATGAAATACCATCAAGCGAGCATAGTAGAAAATTATCCATCGACAAACATCGACAATCGTCAGAATCGGATCGTCACTCAGTCGATGACAATCGTTCCAGCACGTGTAGTTTGCCAGTCTCAAACTCAGAAAGAAGACCATCTTTTGAACTGAAGCCACCTACACGTCGCCGAGTTTCTGTGGATGGAACCGAGACTAGAACTACTATCCAAATCGAACCGAGAAAAATAAGTACTCTCAGCAGTCCTCCAGATAGACGTCCATCGTCAGAAACTACAAAAACTGTTATCAATGTGGATACACAAAGAAAGAATAGTTTTCCAGGTGGAGAACGCCATTCAGCTCCATTGCAGCCTGTTATGGGTCGAGTACGAACTACAACACCAGTTGCTCTTAAAGAATTCAAAATAGCCAGTGCTACCTTTAGAAAGGATTTGGTTGGAGCTGGTCAAAGGGGTCAACCAAGAAAGGTTGTTCATAAAGACTCTCCAATAATTAAAGCTAAAACAGAAGAAAGTAGTATTACCATCAGCCCCGCCCCTAGTCCACGAAGCTCGTATGGAAGTCTTGCAAGAAGCCCTCGGAGTTCTGTTACAGACGCTTCACCCCGTAACTCATTTGGTGAAAGTCCAAGAAATTCTCGTTCCGAAGTAAACATCAATTTGTCAAGGTCCCAGAGACCATCGCAAGGTGAGCGCAAACCTTCAGCTCAGACTGAGCACAAATCTCTTCCTAACTCAGAGCGAAAACCCCCGTCCGAAGCGGAGCGAGCTTCCCAAGTAAATCAGAAGTCACCTTCACAATCTGAACGTAGACTGCCTTCAGAAGAAGACCGAAAGCCCCTTCCACAAGCAGAAAGAAAGTCTCTTCCACAAACAGACCGAAAAACTCATTCTCAATCGGAGCGTAAATCTCTTTCGAAGTCTGAGCGTAAACCCCCACAAACAGAACGTAAGCCTCCCAGTAAATACGCTGCAATGGCTGCAAGACTCCATCAAGTGGAGCCGAAAGTGATGGGGCGTGAATCAGGCGTCAAACCAAAGACATTTCCGCGAGATGGTGGACAGCGTAGGGATATCCTACCATCAAAAGGACGACATACTTTCAAAGAACCTGGAAGAGAAAAACAAGCTCATCATTTGGAAACGAATGCTCAACACATCGCTGATTTGCTTGAAGAAATGCACAGTGAACGATTAAAGATGATGCGTCAGCGGTCTGACATTTCAGGACAGGCTCAGAAAGCAGCTGCACAGAGGGCTGCATCACGCAGGCGCAGACGTTCTGTTGGAGATGAAAATGAACCCAATTTAAAGGAACTAGAAGTAAAAGATACTGATGAAGATAAAGACTGTCTTCTGAAAACCTCTTCTGACGTAACGCGTTACAAATGGTCTGCTGAACAACAAGATATTAAACAGGCAACTAACAGAGTGCATCCTGGTAGCACAAAGAAAGGCAAGAGCAGAAAGGATTATAACTAGTAGTTTATTAAATAACGTTTTTATATTTGAATGAACTTTACAGGCCTAAAATGACATGTGGTAATTTTAAACATGCTGTTATGCTATGTTTCGTTTTACTGATTTGTGACGAAGCTTAAAGCCTACAAAAAGCAATGACAATTACCGGGACGTGTAGCCAAGCAATCTATCCTATACTAGAACAAAGCACAATGTGAGAAATGTCCTCAATAGTTATATTTGCTAGTTTTATCTCGAAAAAATCCGTTGTAATCTTTTTTTACAGAATCTGTAGATTTATACCGACCGAGAGGCTTATAGTCACTTTATGGTGATTGTCGTTGGCTGCAGTCACATTTTGATATAAATTTTATACCTCAGAGTATTTTCTACCAACATTCCATACCAGTACTAGTTTCGTAAACATTTCTCACTTATCGATCTGCTACTTAAAAAGACTTTAGAATAGCTCGAACATTTAGCAAATGTGTCCAAGGTTAGAATGTGTAGTATAAGCTTATTATATTTAGTATTTACTGTCGGTCAATATACAGTACTCCTTTCTGTGGAGCCAAATAGCCAGTATCTTCAAAATATGAAGACTAAAGGCCTAGTACCCATGTCCCTCTCACCTCGTTGTCGAGAGATCCTGGGCTTCAAGGTCATATAAGTATTTTTTTGGAAACAGCATTGTTTTTCTTTTCTCTTCTTTTGGAAAAAATACAGAATTGTAAATGAATTTTCTCAAAGCTGAAAGATTGAATATTACTATTTTTAATACCATTTTCATGATAACATATATTAATATAACTTAATACACAGAAATATTTGTATGAAAATGATACTTGGTGTGTTTCATTGCGTCAGTCTGCCTAAACAAACTATTGCGTTAGCGCGCGTATGTAATTTTTTTCCTTATTTTTGTCGATCACGGTATGAATATTCCTCGAGTGTTCAGACGAGATTATTGCCAAACATGAACTGTTAATATTCTTTTATTATGTGCTCAATAATATTCTTCGTAAATTGTTTTTTTTAACCAGGCCGTCTGGCAAACATCGTATTCAGTTTATTCTAAGAAACTTTTTGTTTTTTGACATGTTAGCTGACGTAACGAGTAACTTGATACTAAGTGGACTTGGTTTTATGGCGTCTTATGATTAGTATTCGGACACCTGTATTATAATCAATGAGAGCAGAAAACATAACCAATATTTCATTCTACGCAATTTCAATGTAATTTTGCCATGTGGCAAAATTAGTTATTTTAAGCCAATGGTTTTCATGCAACGCCTAGGCAATTCGGTGGTAGACTGGGAAGACGTTGTTTCGCTACGTACGTAGACATTTTAATTCTTGGTTTACGATCATCTTGAAACCAAACCGCTTTTTGGAGCACTTGCCATCGTACTTCAACAGAGAATATCATAAAGTTGAATCATTTGGACCTGTTTTGAGGAGACATAATGACCCCTAGCTGTCATTTTAAGCGAAAATAGCAACGACAAGGTAAGGTTGACTAATATTGGGCAGATTAATCGATTTGGTTCAACATTAGCGATCTATTTTATCCGTATATGTGCAGCGTTCTCAACCTTTTGGTCTATTCGACAACCTGTATTTTTCGTATTTTTTTAATCTTTTAAAAGATAGTAGTCGACTCGGTTTGAAGTTTTCGTTTTGGATTTTAGTAGCGATGTTCATGACGAGAAAAGTCACTAAAGCATTCATAGCTCTTCTAAATACACGAATGTGTTTGTTATTATTGAACTCGGTCTTCAATTGTCAAGAGTTGTGGTGTTTTTAACATGTTTTAAACCTTAAATAGCGCCATACCACATTGTTTAGCACGAAAACTGATAATTATCAATCAGACAGCACCCCTTCTTCAGAACAGCTGGAAGCTAGACCAAAATGGCGTCGCAATACTGAGTCTCCCGATAGCGTTTTCAGTATCAGAAGCTCGCGATTCTCATACATAAGGCATCTTAAAACAAAACAATTGCTTGAGCTGTTTTATATTTACATATGAGTCATCTATTTGATGAGTCTCCGAGTGTTCTCTTGTCACTTTCATTCTTTCTTTGTTTTTCGAAGTGCTGTTATTTCACAGAAATGTATTGAACTATGTGGCTATTCAGACCTTTATTCCCTTTATTGACGGATGACGAGTACCAGCAGAACAAACACGTTGGACTGGTTACTGGCCATAGAACTACCAGGTAGTGTGGTTCAATTAGTGAATTCAGATCCTTCTCTTTCCAATGTATTCAGTGTATACATGCAAGTTGCTTACCCGGCATTATTGAGCTTGTCATCAACGTCTACCATACCAGTTTGAGTTGTATATATTGTGGTTCAATTTATTGAGGTTTTAGTTTCAAGATTTTATTTATAAACAAAATTTACGGTTGATATTTCCATGGTCGATAAGTCCAACTTCCATTCAAGGTTCATATAACACGAGGGAATCTTTTTGATCAACACTTGTGCTACGCTGTACATATAGCTCCACTAAAACTGAAAAAAAATTCCTGATCTTACATTATACAGTATCAATGTATTTCAGCTCAGACAGATTGGGATTCTTTCTTCTGGAAATTTTATCCTATATAAATAAATATCTAAAGAGACGGAGGATGGAAGATCTTCTCACACGTCAAACCTCACGAGTGTTGAGTTCAATGGAAGTATGATGAATTCGTGAGACTTGACGCAAGCCCCAAATAGCCATGACTGCAAAGCAATGTCAATACACTGTCCTTAGGGTGTGAACTATAAAAACATTCTTTATTCCTTTGTAGCCCTTCATTTCGGCGTTAAAAATAATAACCCTTACATAAAAAAACTCATTTTTTGGAATTCGCACAACACTCCACCAAAGTAAACAAGGCGAGGCTAAATACACCCAGAGCTAAATATATTATATACAACCTGTCTTAGAGCGGATTTCGTATGAGTGGGAAACGGACAGTACTGTACTGTGTCCGTAATCGTACTGTAACCAAATTCTAGTTCCCCATTGTTTCACCAAAATTCTGCAGGCCAGGTGCGGTAACTGTGCGGTAACCGTGCGGTAAAGGTGTCCCACTCATACGAAATCCGCTCTATGACCGGAACATTCAGTTTCGTATGTATTTTTGGAAAATTGCGCTTTCTTATTCCTTATTCCTTAGTGTCAGTGCCAAAAATAAACTTTCCGATTGCGTATATTCCAATTTCCTCTTGACTGCTGCTAAAAAAAATAATGTAATGAATATTCATTGAAAGAACTCGATATAAAGTAGAGAGTTTGGCAAACGATACCGTGTCCGCCTCCACACCAATACTGAGGTAAGCCGTTGATCTATGATTTCAAAGTATTATTTGCAGGAAGTGGCGCTGTGGTTATTCCACTGTAGGATTCTGTCCTAAAAGAAGTCTGTAGTTCCGGTGTTTTACTTTAAAATAATACCAGTGGTATTAAATAGATATTAGTTATTTGTCGATGTAAGAACAATTAAAATGCCCTGCGCACTACATGTGGAAAAGCTCAATGTGTTTCCGGGATAAGAGAATATATCATCATCCAATTTTGTTTAACGGCGTCTAATCGACGTTTTCTTCAAGAGTTTTTGAGATTTTTGAACTAAAACTTGTTAAAAATGAATGAAGCAACAACAACAGATATTCTCACGAATGCTGTAGATAAACATGAAGATTTGTACATCCAGCTTAGGTTTCAGTTGTGAGCGAGGAAGTCAGCATGACCAACTTCCCATGAGTCCAATCGCTCCATAAGGTCAGTTTTTCATCATTTAAAGTTAACTGAATTTATTTTAATGTCAAACAGTATATTCACTGAATATGTTTAATGGATTAATGGGGCTGGCAGTTGTTCAAAGCTCGCTGACAATTTTCTGAAAGGTTTGTAAGTGGTGGACATCTGGATAACAAGGTTACCCAACCATTACGTGACTCGGCTTGTCATCTCATTGCCATCTCACTTTGGAACTATTCATCGCATAAAATTGAATGGGGTCGAAATATAACGAAATAAAATAAATGAAAAATGATGCAACATGATGAACAAATAGATTTAGCATCAAATGGATTCAGAGCAACTGAAATGTACAGAAACCAGTGTACTTGTACTGCAATATGATTTGCAGGTGGAACTATTACGTCACTGTTGGTGTGCACGTACTTGGCCACTTCTTAATAAGGGGTCGGAGTAACCACTGATACCAGGTCAATGAATTCTCGCAAAGTAAGAGGAGTTAGAGAGTGATGCAGACATCATAAGGGAACATTTTATTTGTTGTTCTTTTTCGTCTCTGCTCGCTTTATATTCATAATTCTCACGGTGAGTGTAAACAAGCGCCTTCCTTTTCCGTCTACGCTGGTTTTAATAAACGTGCGACCCCGGTCTTCGTCGGACTTTCGCATCGGCTCATAGGGGTTCGGTTTGAGTCACTGCTTTAAGATTCCAAAAAATCGTTGAATAATCAATACAATCAGTGAAGACTGATATAGAGATTGTTTTGAAGTAAAAGTTTATTGAACCTCAATCACCATACTGGACTCAATCACCATACTTGACAGTCAGATTACTTGTCTTAAGATACAGAAAGATAGGAAAGAAGACGAGGAAATGGAAAGAAAAAAAAATTGACAAAAATTTCAAAAAGTTTTTTTTCGTTTGTTGATTGACGCGGATTCTCTCTAAAGAGAAAGTCGACAAAATGTAAAACTGTGGATACTGTGGTTTAAGATGTTGAAAGATGAAGTAAAATATCAGAAGATAAGAAGCTATTACAATGCCGGAAACAAAATATGTAAATGTCCGATCGCGCCTAGTTTTGTATTGTACAGTAAGCCAAGACAGGAAAAAACAACAGTGTTCACTATGGAGAGGATAATAGCTCATCAAATTATGATGGCAGACCGACTGACATTCTTTCTTCTTTTTTACTGGTATTCGTCAAGTTTAACCGCATTTTCCTTTCTAAGATAGCACAATGGAAGCTAAGACCACCTCTTAAGTTCTGCTAAAGTTTGCGCGTCCTTTTTTTCTTTTGTAAGAATTGATGTTTGTTGACAAATAAAACTCCCTAACTTGTACAAACACGGTTTACAGGTTAACTTGAATACCATTTCAATTTAGTGCAATGACGGAGCATCACTGTACCTCCCATCCCTCTCTGACCACGTGATTCTCAACAAACTCTGATAAGCTTTCTTTCATTAAATCTTGATTATGTTTTGACAAATTAACAATAACAATAACTGTAGGAGACTCAGTAAAATGTCAAAAACAAAAGTTGATGGTTTAAAATTGCCTTCGGCATGCATAGCCATGCATGGAGTTCAAACTTTTAACGGCTGTTGGACCTGTAGGTGTCTTTCAACATCACCGTACAGTACTTGATCTTGAGTGTGGATTTACATGGCTAACCGGCCACATTGAACCAACATTGAAAGCACAGAGTTGATTCGCCACACTGAGCAGCGTGGAAAGACTTTGTGGTTAGTTTAGAAACGGTTATGTTAATTCAGGCTTCGACGTAATTTCGGAATATCTAGTAAGTTTAGGCATTTTATTTTCATTTTTGTTGGTTTGTTGCTCATACCAGTCGATGTCCATATCTCAGTGGGACTCGCATAACGAACTATATATATAAAAACAGTCTTTCTAAAAAGTAATTAGGAATATATTTTTCAACGAGACAACTATTTTCACTTTATTGCTAGATATCTATATCATAAAACCGTCACATATTGTGCAAAAAAATAAATACAAAAAATATAAAAACCTAAAAAGTGCAAGAAAATATTGATATAAATATCCTATGAAAGAGAACTTTGCATTGTCGCTCATTCGATGCCCAAAACCATTTGATGTGTATTTTGGTGCGGCAGGTTTTTGAAGCCAAATTGTTGTGGGAAAGACATATTTAGTGCAGGAATTTAAAATATCGTGATCATTCTGTTTTCATTCAAGCTGTTAATTAGGAGCTTAGTGGAAAGTAGCTCACCTGGTCTAGTGAAGGGCGGTTTTTATATCTACGGGAACAATATGCTTATGGATTCATCTAACGTTCTAAAATGTCTCATTGAGATAGAGAACTTTTAACGACTTGTGGTTTTTCTCTTTCAATCGCTTCGATCCTGTTAGAAACCATTTTAGAACTAGCGGTTAAATGTATCAGGATGTCGTGGATTTCCTGTGGTTCAAGATGACATTCCTTTGTATCAAACGAAACATTTTGTAAAAGAATTGTTTGAAACATTTTGTTCGTTTTTGCATGGTATTTTAGTACTCAAAACTGAAAATGACTTTGAAAACCACTTTTTTCTAACAAATATGGAGTAAAATTTTTAAAACTTAAAACTGCTAGTGCCATCATAGTTAACTATGGTGCCATACAGAAATTCCTTTGTGAAGAAGTTTGCAAAGTTCAGGATAGAACAATAGAAAGTCCATAGTTTGTATAAAACACGGAGGGATGAGTATTAACGAAGCAAAAGTTTTTTAACGCACTAGGACATCACTTAATTATAGTTGTTCCTTATTCAATCTCCGCGTACACCATGGATGTGAAAGAACACAATTTGAATTGCACGTTTCGCGGCGACCGGAAATGCGTGTGTTGGTGATTATAAAAGCACTATTAAAAACTGCCAATTACCATAATCCCCTGGGACTTGTTATATGCGAGTTGTATTTGTTCTAACAGCTCGTAGTATTTCAACGCAGCCATTAAACCAAGAGAGGTGTAGAAACCGCCATAAACAACCGTTTTTAGAGAGACTTGATTTGTTTGGATACCAAAACCACTGTAAAATTGATTGTACAAACTTGACGTTGGTGGATGACTACATCGCTGTATCTTATGACGACTAGCTAGGGGTATTCGTGGCGTCCACAGCAAGCCTTTCTCAGTGTCTCAGGCAGTTAATACTGGTGTGATTGGCTAGAGTTCAGCGGTCTTTGTAATAATAATGTCACTTGCTGGTTCTTGCATTTCAACTTCATGATTCTCTAAATCTTCGATGGTAGAGTTCTCTATTTCAACGGTAAGACAAGCGTTAATTTGCTCCATAAAATCAATATTTAGTTGATTGCGAAAGAGAAGCTTCACTCTTCGGTATTACATACACAACAGCAACCAATTGTCGGTGGTTTTTGTTGAGGCAGTGTTGTTCATTCTCTCCGGAATTTCACGAACTGACTTTAGAATGTAAAGCTGGCTCGCCTACATGACTTAACCTGATTCTTTGTTGGCTTCGGCAAATAAAGAGAAATGACGGTAAAAATAAGGTGATTTTGAGTGATTCTAATTGTAAAAAAGTTTGAAGTATCCGCGCTTTGACTGGTAGGTCTAAGTGAACTACTCAAAAATCATTGTCTTGCGAGGCTATATATTAAGCTCATGGTCGGTTACAACTAGAATTTGGACTGTCGCCCGTAGTAATTAGCTTTAATTCAAAACCCTTACTCACCTAACTAATATTTAACTGTATTATATAAGAAATCTAATTGTTCAATCATTCAATGGTATTTCTGTGAAAATAAACGACTTGGTTTTGCCAAGGTGCCAGTAATTCTAGTAGTATATTATAATTATTGACTAGGTGTCCGTCGAATCATGTTTCGTTGACCTTTAGATGACATTCAAAACGTCATTTAAATCCTTTGATTTATTCCACAGATCTTACAGCGAAGGACCTGATAAAAAGTATGGAAGGCAACTGCTTTCTATTGTTGTCGTTGTTTTTGGTTACTGGAGCCTCGCTTACAGCATGCGATGTTTGCATGAGGGAAGCTCATGTAACTACACCGTACAAAGGTTTGTTTACGAGTCTACCGTACCATAACGAATATTGTCAGATTTATTTGATATTCGATATATCCAACAACCTATTCACTGTACGGTTGAAGAATAAATTTATCATCAAAACAATTGCTTGGATAGAGGCGGTGTTGCAACATGAATGGCTTGTGCATTCACAACAATGGCCGCGTTGCGATTAAAAGCAGGAATACTAGATTGTGTCATAACGTCCAATGTTGTGTGTGTTAGAGTATAGCGAAGCGAGTCTTACTTTGTAATTATATATCTGGATTCAAGTGTGTAAATACAAGGCTTTGTTATGCAAACATTCAAGGAAAAACGAAGTAGATTTATTATATCGGTCGTGAAGTGTTCGTACGACTTGCTTCTGTCAATTCGATTTGGTGACATAAAACACGCTATTGATATGTCTTTGAATTAATACATAAATTGATCACAATATTTCTATTCATCCTCTTGTGAACGATTAAAATAACTAGTAATTAATAATAGAACCCTAAAACCCTTAAAAACCAGTGATCTGAAGTATCAAGTCTGGAAAAAAAACGTTTTTATTAAGAGTATGGGTTTGTGGTTCCTGACCGAAGCACTTCAAAACGATGCACTATACGGGTAAAAAATCAGTCTTGTTTGACCATCGAGGCTCCAGGCTGCTGCACGAACACCTGTGATCTTATCTGTCAACGTTTACAAATATCAATTCCCGCCAAACGACGCCTCTTACCCAACACTTATGACGGCAGAATTTATTTTGTCTTTTAATGCAGAACAAATCCTGATTAATTGATTCTAAGCCTGTTTTCAGTACTGATCTTTGGCCTGCTAGAGTTGAATTTCAGCAGACATGTATTGAGATATCCGTTTTCTTTGATGATAACAGGACTCTCTACTAGTATTGACCGAGATATTTAAGGCTAAAGTTTCAAAGAAAACATAAAGTGAGACTATGCAGTCAGTCATCAAATTCCTTATACTTAGTTTATCCAGTTTATCATTTAATGGAGGTTCCTCGTTTTATGGAAATCTTATCTTTTTGCATTTCCTTTTGTACTTAACATCAATTTGGCTCAAAGATTATTACTCAGTTATAACATTGGCAACTAAATGTACTACAATCAAGTACAATTTGGGTCTAAAAATAAAGATATTTAGTTGTATTTTTCACTGCTCTCTGATAATCTGATAAAAAGTTGATTAACTTTTCAGAGAAGATAATATTTGTTATGACTAGATTAGAACATGTCTTGTTAATCAAGCTGCATACAGACGTTACTGGTTAGTGTAAATTGTGAATCAACAAAGAGTTGCAATTTTACTTTGTAATATATTTCTTGTGCATTTATGAGGGTTATTTCCTGGCATTGCAGTGTTTAGTGAGAGTATCTAGTTGCTCGTTGTATAGAATAAGCTTTGACTTACTGAAAGTTACTGTCATTATATATGTAGCTTTATATAATGTGTAAAACAATTCGAATCATTGTTACAAAGAGTGTTACTAAAAAGGCATAGAAACAATCTCTAGAAGTCTGCTTCACAATGAGTTTGATCGTTGCTTTTTCTTGGTTCAAAAATATAGTTACAAAATGTATGCGTAGACAGTGTGTCTACAATGGAAAGATACAAGAACAGTTACAATAAATTACAGGAAACATGAGGTTGCATGATCAATAACTCATATCGTTTAGTAGAAAGTCATATTGAATCATTAACACACAGCAGTTTTAAGTTAAAAGCAGATGATTTCTCTTATAGAACTATAAATTTGTTGTTTTGTTGTAGACCTGATATCTACATCTGAGGCTAAAGAACTTCAAAGTCATGCCAAGAATTACAGTGTTATGCTGTTTAAAGATAATCAACTATTTGTTGGAGCAAGGCAAGTAAACCAAGATGAATCCTCTTTGTAAAAAAAACAAAATATAGTAGCTAAACGTAACAAAATGTACACTGTCAGGACCTCATTTAGGTGGGGCTGATGTTCATGGTTAGGAACTTATTTGGGTGGGGCTGATGTGCACTGTAAGGGCCTTATTTGGGTGGGGCTGATGTTCATGGTTAGGAACTTATTTGGGTGGGGCTGATGT